AATGTTGGAAGAAATATTTTACATCTGCATCATTTTTCTCCAAATTAAAATTGAAGTTTAAATGATATTGAATAACAGCTCCAAGTAAAATGGACTACTAGTTACACCAAATACGACTCGACAATGACGAAAATGCTTCAAGCCATCTTCACCCTTTATCGAAAGAAATCGGAGGAAGTTTCTGTCACTAGAATTCAGGCCAATTTGAAGTAAAAGGCCTTACGAATATCAGAAATCACCCCTATTTTTCTTGGCGAAATCTATTTAAGATTGTAGGAATAAATGAAATAAGGTTTAATCCCTTTTCAAGACAATCGTTGAGAACCCTTTACTTTAGACGAAGCGTCAAATACTGGCCGTAACTTCGTAGTACTATGTTCCTTAACAACATGTCTATGTGGCAAATAATGATGGGGTAAATCTAATTCATTTACGGGTACTTCCTCTATTATGCCCTCTTTGAGCCATTCTTGGAATATATTTTCATACTCTTGGCGAAGATTATCTATTTCAAGTTGCCTAATCGTACCGTGCAACCTTTTAAGCGATAACTCAAAATTATCCGACAGGGAAGGGTGCCCTTCTAACCAAGGCGAAGACACGACTACAAAGCGGTTCATCTTCTATTTTTACAGTATCAAGAAAATGTTGCCTGGTAGCCTCATACAATTCCAATTTACTCTTTTGTTCGGATGGGTCCGTAATACCAAGCGAGTCGAGGGCCCATAAATCAGAAATATAAGCCTCTTTATTCAACATTGAATGTAACTAAGAATGTTGAACCTTTCACTATTCAACTCCCCCCCCCGGTTTTTCCCATAACCGTCCATCCTAACTTTGTCTCAATAGCCTACAAGACCGTTTGAAATTTGTTTACGGATTTCCCCGTTAATAATCGTCCTGCAACATCGGCTCCTATTAAAATTTCTATAGGTCCTTCTAAACGATCTGTTAAACTTATTCCACAGTTCAGCAAGCTCTTTAAGCCATATTCCTTGTCCAATAGAAGGTATACTATTACAAATAACAGGCTGACTTAACGCATCAAAATTACAACTGTACAGAGCCAGACGTATTAGATAAATTGAATTTTGTAAACTTTATATTCACACAAACTGGTCGTTGTACCGCCAAATAATGCGTGGACTAAGGTATTCCTTTACCGTATACCTGTAACCCATATTCTTGAGCTGTGCTTTGCAGAATATACGACCTTTGCAGAACCAGTATCAATTATAGCTCGAGCCGAACGAGATTTTTTATCTCCTTTAATTATTACTCTTATTGTTTGCAGCAAAACTTTAGGAGACCTTGAAGAAATGTTGGCGAGTGTTTCAGCCTGATTTGGAGGCTGTTTCCATTTGCCCTTGTCTCACTCATTTGTGAATGGCCCTTACATAGAAAAATATGATGCCTTTTGCCGCATGTAAAACAAACTGTTTTTAATCTACACCTCCTGACAGAATGTCCAGATTTCAGACACAGATAACAATGAGCGTGTCCTTTGGACCAAAACTTCTCTTTCTGACAACGATAAGTTACGCGCCTGAAAACATTCCGCAGAACCATGATTTATACTGGAACAAAATATGCAGCCTTTCTAGCTTCATTAGAAGAAGTAAAACAGTCTTCAGCTGCCGTAGGTTTTAAGCGAGGTTCTCTTATCTTTAAACCCAGAATTTCTTTTCTTATTACCGTGAGCCAATCGATCAAAAACATTGAAAGATTTAGCTGCTAAAGAAATTCTTTCCTCACTTTCAACTTCACCACCGCGCAAGAAACATAAAAGGCGCTCAAGGTCAGACTCCCTTTCTTCTTAACTCGGCGTTTTCTCCGGTTAAACCCTTTCTGATCCTTTACGCGAAAACCTAAGTCTCTCCCACGTTTTTAAGACTTCATTCGGCAATGCTGATTCTACCAATGGGATATAATATTCGCGCAATATTTGCCTCTATTTATTCCCAATATCTCCAAGGCTCTCAGATTAGATTCAGTTCATACGTATAGTTTCCCGCAAAGAGTGTGTACCTTGTTTTTGAATAACAAGGGTTAACAAATCACGAATATAAATCTCCGTTAGTAATTCTTTGTTACCAAAACGCGTCTGCAATGCTTCGATTGCGCTCTTGTAACTATCGCCAGTTGGCGGAAAGCTTTGAACTATTTCCTCTGCGGGCAGAATTCTTCTCCATAGCCTGTGCCTAAATAAGCAAATTATCATTCATTATCTAATGTAGGATCTTTATCAATCTTTTGGAATTGCCCCCAAAAATCCTAGCCATTTCTTCACGTTGCCGCCAAAGATAGGCAATTTAATCTTCGGATAATGTAACATTTTTTTATTCTGAACAAAGGACGGATCAATTAAAGTTACATTCGGGGTTCCAGAAGTAAGATCTTTTACTTTACTTTCCAGAAGTCTCCACCTATCAAAATATAATTCAGATTCATCTATTTCCTTAATAAGTAAAGTCTCATCTGTAATTTCTTTAAACATTAATTCTCGTATTTTTATTTCAGTATCAAACAAAAACTTTAGCTTTCTCGGCAATAACTTTTATTTTAATTAATTTTTCTTCCTGATTAAATTTAGTTTCTTCATTGTCAAATTCATTACAAGCTTTACTGAATAGTCTTCTATATTGAGTTCTTGCTAATTTTAAAGCTTCCATGATTCAAAATAAAAAAGTCGCTTACCTTGCAGACAATATCCTGTCGCTTGATGCCAAATGTTGATTTTTCCGATAATAATCCTATGTGTTATATCTGACTTCGAATCTAAAATTTTCTGAAGAACACAAAAACCTTGTCTAAAACTTAAAGGTTTATTTAAATGGAACTTCAACACTGATGAAAACTTAACATCTTGGGCGGAAAACTTCAAAGTGCTTTAAAGTAACAGCTATGCCGGCACGGTGAAGAACACTTTCCCCTAAAAGACAGAATCCATCTAGCCCTTTCGGCGTATATCTCCATTTCGCTGAATTCAGACATCCGCTCCTACGTGTTTGGGACTTAAACAGCCAGGCTGGAACTGGAATAGGACTGGATCCACAACAAGACGGGAACCGGAATCTCTCATCCCCTGGCTTCTCCCCGGGCAGGTCTATTCTGGCTCGAACTAAAAGGAACTGCGGTGCCACTAAGGAAAGCACCTCCTTTTATTGCCGGCGGTTGCCGTTACTACAGGCGACTTATGCAAATATTTAACAACGGTCATTCAAGATGTTTCAGGATGATCTATTGACACTCCAAGCAAATGACACTTCATTTTTTTTTTCTCAGAACGTTCCAAGATGGTATATCCAAACAACTTTTTTTTCCTTTATTTCTTTTTTCTTTTTTTAATTATTCTTTTCAGATTTTGTTGTAACTCCATCATCGCCAGGAGGCCCTGTCGTGTCAGGATACCCGAGTGTGAGTAGCAGGAGTGCAACAACTCAACACAACTAAGGGCATTGTAGTGAGACGAGAGATGGACAATGGAAGCGAAAGAGAGCAGTCATGTTTTTGACTAAGACGTATTAATACGTGGCGAAGCTGTTAACTTCTCAATTATAACTCTTTTTTCATTTGTAAATACACATCACTGTATCTCCATCAATAACTAAATACTTAGTCACCTAAATGTGTGTTGTCAGCGTAGAAATCCCCTAGACACCGAGTTTACATACATTAATACTGTAGTGTTAATACTTTATTATTGCTTTAGCATAATTTCAATGTGCAAATGAATATAACACAAGGTAAGGAAACTTTATTGGTCTTTTTCATTTACAATTCTATCAAATTGAAGTTCCAATACAAAAAGATGACAAATTTTCCAGTTATTAAGCTGACAATTAAAATATATGCACATAAAACGATGCAGCATATTTATATGAGAGTAAATATGCTAGCTCCACTAGATATTTACTAATAATTTAAGCAAAAGAGTGGCACTTCCATTTTGAATGATATAATAAGCTGCCAAATTATCTGATGCAAATTTTCAGAATGACTCATGATCACATGAAACAAACTAAGTGGTCAAACTCACATTACTTTATTAACAGATTAATTATTATTTCTTTTTTAAAAATAACTAGAGAAGCATCATTTATTACTTAGAAACACACACAAAAATACAACCGTCAAATAAAAATAACCCCTTTTGTTATCTTTGTGAATAGCATAAATTCAAAGTGCCAAGATTGTATAGTCCCAGTTCAAATAATATAAACGATTGAATATTCGAAGCTACTTTTAGTAAAATCTATAAAGCAGAAAATTATTAAATAAATTTCTAAAAAACTTAAAAAGCATTAATTGTTTTTCTTCTCTTTTAGTACAGTTGAAAGCAAGCAATTTAAAATGTAAACCGTTTTAGGCAGTATATAATGTCACTGTATAAGCACTATATAATGTCAAAATGATAAAAATGACTAGCTTTCATTGCTCATTTCACACTGTACTTGTAAGTACATAACATTTTGGTGACATTTTTTTTGGCACCATCAGAATCAAAATATCCAAGCAGAATTATCCAAGGCAAATCCTAGGAAATTGGGAAGTACTATGAAAACACGGAGCCTAATCTCAGGATATTTACAGATATTATAGTAATCACTTAAAGTATAACACACAGACCTGTAAAGACTCAGTGGCTTCCTATTATCTATTTGTCACAAAAATGTACTTAAAGCCACTCAATTTAGTATCAAATGATAAACTGTTTATAAAAAGTCTAGTTAAATGTAAATAATCAATACAATCTGAAGACTAGATTTTTCACTTTTGCATGAAATCAAACACATGTATAACTTTAATGCAATTATTTCAAAAAAATCTTGGCAGTTTGAAAACCTTTAATGTATTAAGATTATTCTGTTATTATTGCACTTCAAAATAAAATACATTTTAATATTTGAGAACTTACTTTTAAAATCTGATGAAATAAAAACAGTAACATTTCAGTATATATTTACATAAAAATAATATTCTCTATTAAAACTCTTATAACAATAATGTATGTATATATGAGAATTTCTAAAATGAAAGTAGGAATCAAGGCTAACACAGTTAAATAATTATAAAATATTTAAAAAGAAAATAATAGTCAAATATAATTTAAAATTTGCAATGAATGTATGTACAAAAATGAAGTATGATAATCAAAAATACTGAATACAGGCCACATAACCTTTTAATACTTACTATCTGAAGCTAAAGTACACTATTTTCCAAATGCACAAGACAATTATTATTAGAGTTTTCTCCTGCATAAATAATAAAATGACTCTAAGTAAAATACACATTTATACATATAACTGAATTTACAACTAACATTAATATAGACATGAAATGAAGCACTAAATTAAAATATGATAATGAATTTCAAACTGTCACATTCATAAGCCAACAAATGCCTGACATAAAAGTAAATGGTAAATATTTTAATTATACAGTGCATGGAAATAACTGGAAATTATATTCATGTAATATGTACTTTCATAGACACTACAAATATCTGTAAACAGTACATAATGTAACAAAATATTATATCTACTTATAAATACTGAGTAAATACATATATTTGCAATGACGTAACTGTCGGAATTTTCATCGTATATCTCCATTATCACTACACATTACAACATATATATTAACATATCTCCATACACAGATGGTAGATTTGAGAATTAAACATACATCTGTTTTAAGCAAAATATATGGCTTAGAACAGGGGTTCCCAACCCTATGCCCGCAGGCACCATGGCACCCACCGATTGTTTAGCGTTTGCCTGCCGCTATGCAATCACAATAAAAATGTTTGCTTTCAATAAAATTCTATGTGAAAGTTTTCTTATTTTTAATGAATTAGAAATTGCATCCAACACAGATACCAGCACAAAGTGAAATGAGACCGATCCTTTTTTTTTATGTGCATTATAAATTCACATTGAAAAATTAAATGGCGCCCACCATCCAACAGATATTTTAGAATGTGCTCTTAGGGACAAAAAGTTTGGGAACCCCTGGCTTAGAATTACTTACAAAAAAACTATGAGATCAGAGCATAACTGCAGAATTATGCGCAATCAGTAAATACAAATTACCCCTGTCAATTAACGAAAGTTTTCGACACCTCACTAAAAATGTGAGTCCTCTTATGTTAAGGAGAAGAAATAAATATTAAATAATGGAAAATAAAATATCCCCAAATGTTCATTAAATAGAATATGAAAAAAAAAATTAAATACAACATTTCAAAAAAAAAAAAAAAAAAAAAAAAAAAAAAAAAAAGGAGAGAGAGAGAAATAAACAAGTTTGTCATAAAGAGAAATGGCTCAGGTGATAGTTTTACACAGATGTAATATAATTATCTTAAAAAAACTGCGTCTGTATTTACATCCTTTGATTGCCTTTTCACTGATAGTTCCCAGAACCAATGTTATGTATAAATTTTTTGACAGATGATAGACATCACCACAATATTTAACTATCATACCATAATATAATGTAATCATATTAACAAACAAGTACAATTTGTGAGTTTTTGTTTTTAAAATTTACTTAAAGCAATTTTAACATATGTATATATATTTCTTATTTATAACTTTTAATTACTTTTTCAGTTATTAAATTTTGTTTCATTTCAATCCAAATTATTTTACCTTACTTTCAAATATTATAATTATCCAAAGCTTTATAATTTTTGTTATCTTGTTAGATACCCATCATATATCAACTGTTTTTCCAATCAGTGAATTTTTATCCCTCCCTTCAATAATCAAAGACTAGCAAATTAGGAATTAGCTGAGGATGGTTAAACATGTTGATCAATTCAATGCACCTTTATCCAGAACACTGTGAAGTCTATATTACCAATAAGTTAAATAATACTGCCAAGAAACAACACCAGTGTCCCATGCCTTAATTGACATTCAAACTCACAAGCATCACTATGGGAACTACTTCTGCTAAGCAATAATTGACACTATAAACTAATGTGTGTTACTCTTATTGGTATCTCAAACTAATAAACAGTGTATGGCTTGACACTTGACAGATGAACATTATAGATTCTTTATGTTATCACCTTAAAGGGCAATTATAGGAAATACACACCACCTAGTGCATTTAATTTTGTATGTCGATGAATTATCATTAAGTTTTCCAAAGCAAGAAAATCTTTCAAATCAACTGTGGTATCACTAGGAACTCAATCCAAGTCCTTTATATTTGGTAATTGGGCCGGCTATTTTTAATAGTTGGGCATGATAGCAGCATTGGATTATCATTTGGCAAAGCATGGAACAGCTATCTACCTAAAGGAAGAGATGGCTTCGTGGAGAACTTTTTTAAGGAAGTGGTTCGTATCCATATTACACATGGCAAAAAGCTTCCAATGTGTTAGCATGCCTGCGAGGATTTTGAATCCAGGATTAACTACCAGTGATCAGCAATTTTACCACTCAGCCAAAGGTGGGCAAGTAACATGAGGGAAGAAATATATTACTATCTTACAAGTTCATAAAATAAGATGCTGATATTTCAGTTACATTTGTAATTTTAGAAAACACATTTATGTTTTATGAAATATTATTTTAGCATGTATACCCCAGGGTTAGTATCACACAAGCTCCAGGTCTTTCAGGTTCAAAGTAGTGTCATACAAATTCCATTTTAAGATTTTTATATTAGTTTAAAAAAAGCTTCATGAATATGACAGCACATAATCTTATCATGCATACATACTTTAGAATGTTAAAAAAGTAAGAAATGACATGGCCTGTAAGCAGTACTCTAAAACACTTAAAGGTATGCTAAAAATAAAAAAAATATAGCAAGATTAAATTAGTATAATTCAGATCTCTAAAATATGATCATGGCACCACAAAAACAAACGCACAATTGCAACAAGCTCATTCTTTTCTCTTGAATAACACATATCAAAATGTCAAATTTGTGGTAAAATATTAAAAACCGAATGTAACATGTCTGGACCCTTGCACTGCAACACTATAGCAGCTGATAAAGGATGCTGTTAAACAGCACAAATAATAAATATAATTATTTAAATTCTGATGACACACAAATGGTAACAAATACAAACAGATAGTATAAGATATACATCTTAAAAACAGATTAAAAGCTCAAGCTTTTCAGGAAATATGCTAAAGATTAATATATAATATCTTAAGACTAAAAATTACAGTAACTTGCATATTGCAATAATTCTAGCAAAATGAAGGTATATGCAGAGGCTCACAAAAGTATATCACATTATGAACAGAATATGCATATTTCATAAATAAATTAATCATAGCTTAAAAATTAAAACTTTCAATCATTTCAGAATTAAACATTACATACAGAAAAAGAAATCATACAGTAATTTCACATTTGTAATTTTTTTTACAGTTCAAATCACATGCCTGAAATCTGGCCTTGTCTCCAAAATTTAAAAATAAAAAATAAATAAAAATTTAAAAAAATCAGAAAATTTAAGAAAGTCTGCTACTCTCTTATTTCTGAGCATTTTATATAATTTTGTACTTTATATACAGTATTATAAAACATTCATCATATCACAGAAGCTCTCATGCTTCTAGCTGCATAGTTCAAAGTTTCATTTGAAGACTTAATAAGTTATATTACGCACACAAAACATTCAAATAAAAATAATTTAATATCATATAGGTAAGCTTTATGTCTTTTAATCTTAATTATTCAGAAAATCATATCTTTATGAATATTCTACAGTTAGAATTGTATACAAAAAATTTACATTATCTAAGTTAGCTACACCATGAAATTTGGGCTTATCCAAAATGCAGTATTTTGATCCATATCAGCCAATGGCAACAAAAAATCAAGAACGTATTTCATATTTTAATTACTCACATTTAAGCATCACAGTATAAATTCAACAACACAAATAGTTCTTTGTTAATATATGTATAAATTAAATGAAAAATCTCAATCCACAAACTGCTAAAAACTTCTCGATAAATAATTCAGAGTCTAAGACGGCAATATGGGCAGCTCGGCCTATTAAAGAATTGGCGCTACTAGGCAGAGCATGATGGACATCATACCTAAGGAGGGCAATTTCAGGATTCTGTATGATTGGCTGAATAAGGTTGGTTACCATTTCTCGATAAACCATACCTGTAATTAAAATATGTTACAATTACTTCAGCATTTAAGCTACGTTCGAAAATGTTAAGAAATTGTTAGTACTATTTCTTTTGAATTTAAGACAATATAAATTGAAAATCATTAAATCACATTGTTAAATACTTACCACAGAATGATAACTTTGTGTGACTACATTAAGAGCAACAGTGTATAGTTACAAAACACATGCAAACACGCACATATAAACAAAGGATGGGTAAAAAAAATTATTACATTTACCAATCCCTTACAAAATGGACATTAACAAACAAAACATGTCCTGGTAAACAGTCTGACTACTGTTTACCTTTCTATTTACATTCTCCTGTAGTGTAGATTTCCTGTCACACTCATAGAGCTAAAGGACTGCTTTGCAGAAGTAATTCTCTGAACACTTATTAATTTAGAGCGTAAGAATTACGAGCTGTTATACTTGTGCTACCCAAAATCTGCTAGATAACAGTTGCATTATGTGAAAATTCTTTTGCTTATGACAGTTAAGCAAGTGAATCTACAACAGCAGGTAGCAGCTACATGAAATCAACAAAGAATGAATTCCATTCAGATTTTTTTGTAAGCAAATACTTTAATGAAAGCAAGTGAAATGTGTCAGTAATAATTGCCATTACTTATCATTTGGCAGCTTCATTGGGATCAGCTGGAAAAATAGTCTTAAAATTATTTGGAGACATCATGCATATTCATACAACAGTATTTATTCTTCGCCATTAACGTACAATATCAAAGTTTGAATAGTAAGTATATGAAAATAAACTGTACTATTACTCATTTACTCACATGCACAGGTAAACTAGGCACACATGTTCTGGAACAAAGTTCAACCACAGAAATCTAGAGTGTCCCCACTTCGCCATATAACATGCTACTACTTTATAATAAGGTTCTGCTATAATACATCGTTTGTCAGCAGATAAGAAAGCACCCAGGACTTATTTTTACTTTTATATATGTCATTTAGGCTTCTAGGCTTATCACAAAGAATGTGCATAAACTATTTAAAAAGTACAAGGTATATGATATGAACAAACATACAAAAGTTCACAGTTAATGCACCTTCAGCATTCACAAAATACGAGGGCCATCCAGGAAGTAGATTACGTTTCCGTCTGTGTCCGCTAGGGGCGGGGCTAGCGCGGCCATCTTGGGGTCAGAGCGTTGCGCAGCTCAGTCTGCATCTAGCCGTGCTAGTGAGAGGTTCGTGCTGTGCTCCGTTCAGATACTGTGACGGTTTGAAATGTCTGCGTTAATTGAAAATCCCGCGAGCTGCGAGGTTGCGCTCAGTAATAAGGTTTCTGACTGCAAAAAAACTATAAACCGATAGAAATCTATCGGCAGCTTCGTGAAGTGTATGGGGACAACATTATCACTGAAGGTGGAGTGCGTCAGTGGGTCATAAGATTTCAAAATGGCCGAACCAATGTTCACGACGAAGATCGAAGTGGGAGACCCAGCATAGTGACCGCTGAACTTCTCGAAAAAGTCGATGCTAAAGTCCGTGAAAATCGAAATTTCACAATAACGGAACTTTCTTTGAGTTTTCCACAAATTTCGCGAAGTTTGTTGCACGAAATCATCAGCGAAAAGCTTGGTTACCACAAGTTTTGTGCAAGATGGATTCCAAAAATCTTGACAGAGGACCACAAAAATCAGCGAATGGCTGGCTGCAGCGTTGAACTTTTTGGACGCTTACCATAAGGATGGTGACTCTTTACTCGATCGCATCGTTACTGGTGACGAAACATGGGTGAAACATGTGAACTGTGAAACGAAATTGCAATCAATGCAGTGGGGGCACACAAGTTCTCCCCAAAAACCCAAGAAATGCATGCAAACAATGTCGGCAAGGAAGATGATGGCGACTGTTTTTTGGGACAGAAAAGAAAAGGTGTAATTTTGGTGGACTTCCTGGAAAGAGGCACTACAATAAACTCTCAAAGGTATTGCCAAACTCTCCAAAAACTCAGAAGAGCAATTCAAAACAAGCGCAGCGCAGAGGAATGTTGAGCTCTAAGATCTTGTTGATTCACGACAACGCCCGCCCGCCCCACACGGCAAATGTCACTTGTAAAGTTCTTGAATCTTTTAAGTGGGAGTTGTTTCCTCATCCGCCGTACAGTCCCGACCTGGCACCGAGCGACTTCCACCTATTCCCAGCAATGAAGAAGTGGCTGGCTATGCAGCGTTTTGATGACGACGCACAGCTGCAAGAAAGAGGTAACGAAGTGGTTGAAGGCGCAGGCGGCCGAATTTTTCGACGAAGGAATTTCCAAGCTCATACATCGCTACGATAAATGCCTTAATTTGTATGGTGACTATGTAGAAAAAGAAAAGTAGTATTTGAGTGTGGCTTTCATCTGTATATAATAAAATTTGTTTCCTATACTTTGTTTATTTTTTTATTCCAAAACGTAATCTACTTTCTGGATAGCCCTCGTATGTTGCGTTACTTGAGCATACTGGTGGGGACTATTTTTTGGATTGCTACAGTAAAATAAAACTTCCTCTTGCAAAAGATGACATGCAATATTTTTAAACCCCAACTCACAGTCTGATGTATCTATTCTAACACTAACAATATTTACTATAAGTGAAAATTATTCTATCAAAAATAATGAAACAGAGGATTATAAAATTTAAAGAGGAATAAACCAATCTAAGGAAAATAACAGCAGCAAACCACATTATTTTGTAAGGGAGAGGTGAACATTTATTTGCATTTCAGAAACACACTTTTCTTCATTTTAATAAAAAGTGGGTTAAGTAATAAAATAAAATGCAAAGTAAATTGAAATGATCATATTCTAAAACTTATAAGATGAAAATACACGTATAAAGGTAGAGGGTGAGGAAGGTCACAATTATTAGCACATAAAACATTTTGCATCGATACATACACAGTAACTATATTAAGTGATTTCCTGTCCACTGCACATATGCAGTGAAAGGGTTAGAACTGCCACAAGCCATGACATGTGTGCCTTCTAATATAATATATAAAAATATGTTAACTGATACAAATAAATCATTAAGACAATCATATCTGCTATATCAGTATTATGTAGGACTAAATTAATTATAAACAGAGAGTGAGATAGTTAAAACAAAGTACTAAAAGCTCTTCTTATTTAAAGTATTTATTTATAAACTTGAATTACACTGAGAAATGTTAAAAGAAATCATGAATGATCAGTAGTAATGGGGTGTATAATATTATGACAATACAGTACAGCAAATAAAAATTAATGGGATGTTATTCAACAGAGAACTACTAAAAGAAGGGAGGGTAAAATTTCATTTTCTATGAAATGCATGAAATAGATATTTACCTTGTAAGGACGTATCTTTAAGGGCAGGCTTACAAAGTTCAATTCGAGCTGAATGGAGAGGTACATAACGATCTTGAGAAGATCCAAACAAAAGTATATTTCGAAAATGTTCCAGACCTTTAAGATTCAAAGTATGTTAATATAAATTTTAAAAATGCTGAATATTTTTATTTCTATTTGAGACAAAAATATTGTTAAAACATACCAGATTTTTGACTTAATTTGTACAAAAAGGTTTGTCTCAAATCTGATGCATCCTTCATAGCTAACTGCAACAATGAACCAGATTTCTTCCATTTTTGCATAAACCACATACCTAAATGATTCAAATGGACCATTAGTATGCTATCAGCTGTTAAAGACATGACTTACAAAACTACTTAAGGCTGTCTTAATATTCTAAATAAAATGAAACAAACCCATATTAACTAAACCACTGCTGTTATAAAGTGTTCCCAAATGAGGACCAGATAGAGACAAAAATGTATGCAGCCGGTTCATGTACGGTTTCATCTCTGGTCTAGTTAAAGCAGATCGTATAATTATATTTCCAAGAGAGTGGCCAATGAAGCTAGTAACAAATAAATTTTGAATTTTAATATACACGTAAAAAGCAATAAAATATTTTTCTAAAACAGTAAAACATTGATCAACAGAACATCCAATAATGGACTTGAAAAATACACATTTTTTACAGTAAATAACAATCTGCACGTGCAATAATGAACTGGAAAAAATACAAATTTTTACAGTAAATAACAATCTGCACATTGTAACTTTTTTATCTAAGAAAGTAAACATTTATTAGCTCTCATGTATTTCAAAATAATAAAAAATTTTTAAGAGACTATTACATGTCAGGACACATAATCTTAAAATTGTTAAGTTTTAATATACCCACAACAACTATGAATACAAAATAGCACATTTGTTTAATATTCAGCAATCTCTATAATTTAGCACATACATTAATTTAAACCAGACATTACATAACATTATGAGCATCACTCAGTGCAAATTATACAATAAGTTTGATTTTTGTCTTTAATATATTTTCTTAGCAACTTTCCTTCATACTTTTTTTAATGCAGTCCTCTTAACCTTGTTCATCACTGCAAATTCAGAGTTTTGAAACCTGGTTCTTCAAACTGCCCTCTTCATACAGCAAAGTCACATCAACAATTGAGCAAACTTAGGATAAGATTTTTTTTCATTTTCTGTTCTCAAGAGCATGGTGGATGAGGAATTTACCTTATTTGCATTGCTCAGTGCATTTTGTGTAATGCATTAACAGCACAATTAACTTATCCACTCAGTGGAATATTAGCAAACCCTTTGAGAAGGAGAAAATTTTTGGGAAGCAGAAATTGTTCAATGACAACTTAATTAAACAAGATAGAATTTTCTCTTTATTCAAATGTCCTATATAAAAACACAAGGTAACCAAAAACGTTCTTGCCGTTTTGCACGGTCAGAAAGAAAAAGTCATAAAATAATAATCAGCGCTAATCCTCCAAATAATCACCATCAGCATCCAGTGCCCTTTTCCAACAAGTGGCTAGCTGTGCGATGCCATCGAGGTAAAACTCAGAAGTCTTGGATGCAAAGAAGTTCGGGAGGACCTTTTCGAAGTCTGGTCAGCTTTTTAAGGATTTCTCATGAAAATGATTGTCCAGGAAATGGAAAAGGTGGTTAGTCTCTTGGTGCGAGATCTGGGAAGTATGGTGGATGGTGTAGTGTCTTCCAGCCCAGTCGTTGGATGGTGTCCCTGGTCTCCTGAACAACATGCAGCCATGCATTGCCTTGGAGGAGTGCACCCTTACGATTGACCAAAGCTGGCTCTATATGCTTCAGTGCCTGATGCACATGTTCCAAATGAATACAGGCCTTCCGCAATGGTTTGGCCTACTGGGAGGAGCTCATTAGTGCACCACTTGGCGACTAGTCCACCAGATACACAGCATGATCTTGCATGGATGGAGAGACGGTATTGCAGTGTGAGGCACAGCATCTCGTGATGACAACCAATGTCTGGAATGCCTGGGTGTGTCATACTGGACCCTCTTTTCATTGCTGGTGAGTACTCAATCAAATATGGATGCATTGTGGTGCCGAGTAAGCAATGACAAACTGGTGTGAAGAAATCCAGTAAAGCCATGAGCATAAATTTATAAATAAATGTTCAACATTTTTCTTTTCTCTTTACTTGCTTATCAACTGCCAGAGATGGGAAACTAGTTATTATTAGAATCATGCCAGTGGTAATATTTCTGTTTTATTCAGTGAATTTCCAACTAAAATAACAAAAATAATTTAAGAAAATTCATAAAGTTAAATATACAAAGACACAGTAAAGAATGTTAGTCCTTCAGCTTAGAAATCAATGGGGAGGGAATTGAAGATAGTACACTTCTAAAAATGTCATAAAGACAAATATGTTTCAGAACCACCTTTTCAAACTGGATGCTGTTCAAAGAAACTATTCATGTGAAATGGGGCTGTAGAGTAATTAAATGCATACTGCATTATGTACTGTACATTACACATAGTACATAATGAAAAACTAGAGGAAGCAGATGTTGACACATCACAGTACAAAGTCTGAGATCCAGAATTGTTACGGCTTTGGCGATTCTAGATTTTAGAGCATCAATTTAAATCTAGTAAGATGACACATAGAAATTATAAAAAAATATTTTTCAGGAATATTTCTTTAAGAAAGAAGTGTTTCATATAAAGAAAGATTTTTCCGAATAACCAGCAGGTGAAATTGAAATGTCACTTGAAGCCGAAATGGTAATATTTTTTAAGTTTAAAACCATACTACAGTCAAAAGTCGTTAATTCGGACACCCATAATCTGGAATGATCTATAATCCGGACCTCAAAGCTAAAAACTTTCTGCACATGCGCCGTGTTGACGCATGCGCATAGGCGTTTAAGACCTTTATGACTGCGCATTTGCGTGTGCACAAGCGCAGAATACGTTTCACTGCGCGTTTAATGTATAACGGACGGTATAAGCTAAAATTATCTAATTGTCTATTTCAGTTAATGTTGATGATTGCATTGTTCCTTAACCTTCAAATTGGATCCGGCTTATTATTTTTTGCAGACTGTAAGAGCAATTTTATAAAAGTAAGCTTGAACTTTCGATTATGTCAAATAGAATTTCCGATGCTGGAGCTCCCAAAGGATCTACGAAAACGAAAGTATGTTTCGATGTCCATCAAACAAAAAGTGGAGTTGCTCCAAAAAATGGATAAAGGCATATCCTTTGTTTATCTAACCGTTCCGAAATCTGTTTATCAATTTCACGCTGCTGCTCTGTGGGGTGGGGCGGGGGGAAGTCGCAGCATGCAATGAGCTGGAAGTTGATCTGTCAACACATCGTTATCTTCAGAGCAGATGTTTTTATTTTATTTGGCTTATAATTCCTTATTAAATGTAGTATTTCATCCTAATGTACTTCGTCTTTGATATGATTTAAATCAAATTCCTCGTCATTATAAATATCACAAATACAAATCAAATAGTTTTCTGGTTGCAATTTTCTAATTTCGGCTATGCATAATGTATGCTTTACGCATGCGCGCGATGAAAGAAATGTTTAATTAAGTAAACAAATAAATATTAAGCTTTTTTTTTTGTAAATTTTGATACCCTTTAGATCATAATTGCTCATTATTCTTTAAATTACAGTTTCATATTTTTAATTTTATAATTTCTGCATGCCATCTTATCAGATTTAAACTGATGATCTATAATCCGGAAAAATCGATAATACGGAATCACCGAAGTCCCGACGAGTCCGGATTAAAGACTTTTGACTGTACCAATATTTATCATTCTGTTGATTGATGACTGAAACATTTTCATCACAGTATAGTACTTCAGTTATATCCCCTTCATTTAGCATTTCTTCTGATATTCCAGTAACTAGAAAATCTTACCTTTTTCTTGTGATATCCAAAAACCTTCAGTTCGGAATTCTCATCATTATCACGAAATTTGGTAGCTGAGTATAAATTATACAAAGCAATTTAAAAAAATATCTGCTGACCTGTCTCAGTCTTGCAATGCCACACTACCACACATGTGAGATTTTATATTAAAATATCACTAGTTCTCGGATGGTCTTACTTCACCATCAGTTTTAATCCTTTCCACACAGGTGTGTTGTATATGCAGGGTAGCATTAAGTTCATCTATGGCAGTTGTGGCATCTGTGCCTCAGAGGATTAGTGCCAAACTAGACTACAGTAATGTAAACAAGATTATCACGGGAAACAAAATGTAAATATTTTTACTCTATAGACGGCACCCTATCTATGACCATGGTACCAAGATAAATGAGAATAATGACGCCCAAACTTTGACAAAGTGTTTCATTTGATTCTGAAGGTTAGATAGAGGGATTTAGTAATGTAAAAGAAGTGCGCTGGCTTTTCAGGCCTGTGTGTATTTATTTATGTTCCTTTATAGTGGCTTTCTAAGGTAACAGTATCTTGCATTAGTACAGATTTTATTTAGTTTTCCCTCTCCATATGTACAGTAGGATGTTCTTTCTTTCGTGTAAATGTTTTTCATGTTTCTCTTTTTTTTTTTTTTTTTTTTTTTCTTTTTTTTTTTTTATTTGCATCAAGATGTCAAAATGAAATCAATACTTACTGAAAGCTGAGTATACAGCTTTAGTACAAGAAGATTCGAGTAGCAGCAATGCCACTGGCTTTAGCTGTGAATTATCTGATTTTGATATGGATATTTTATCAAATTCAGAGCTGCAACCATTTGCCTCAACATTTGCTCCATCCATAAATGACAACTGGCCTCACACATTAAAAGATTTACAGCTGCACACTTGCACTGGTGCACGTGGTATTAATTCCATAGATTGTGACTATGAAAAAGTTTTTTTGCAAATTTTTTATGACTTAAATAAATATAATTATAGAACAAACAAATAATTTTGCAGATTCTGACCTAGAACAAGATCCAAACCTCAGTGGGTCGACTCGAGATTTTCCTGCTTCTCATTTCAGTCGTGTGTCATATCAAGAAATGAACTTTTTTAGCATTAAACATGCTAATAATTGGTATAAGAGAATAACAACAACAAAAAAAAAAAAAAAAAAAAAAGCATCTAAAAATGTACTTTATTACAAATCATATAATGGTTATTCTATTTTTTTAAATAAAATGTCAAGAGCTAGATTTTTAAAGATGCTGCAATATCTTCTCTTTACACCAAACAGCAGTGTTAAAAAATTGGATAAACTGAAACAAATTATTGAGTCACTAGTAAAAAAAAATTAAATGGGTATAAACCGGTAAAAAAAGTCTGTTGATGAATTTTTGCTTATGTGGAAAGGCAGGTTAGGTTTAAGACAATGTGTTTTGTCGAAATGACCCCGATATGGTATCAAAATATATAAACTAAGTATATTTGGAACTTTTGAATATATACAGTACAAAGTCTTTAAACCAGACTTGTCGGGACTTCGGCGATTCCAGATTAGGGGTTTTTCCGGATTATAGATCAACAATTTAAATCTGGTAAAATGGCATGCAGAAATTATAAAATTAAAAATATGAAACCATAATTTATGAAATAAAGAGCAATTATGATCTAAAGAGTTCCAAAATTTCCAAAAAAAAAATAGCTTAATATTTATTTGTTTACTTTATTAAACATTTCTTTCAATGTAAGTTGTTTAAGTTGCTTAGTTTTATGTGCTAATACTTTCTCTTTAATTCTATAAACAGACACAATTTCTTCTTCAGTTACAAAGTTCCGCTGCTCAAGTCTTGTAATTGCTGTGTCGAGAATGCCGACTAACTTGTCAATCGAAATTTTTTCGTTTTCACTAACCTTTCTGTCACTTCCTTCATGCCTTTATCCCTTTTTTTGCAGCAATTCCACTTTTTGTTTAATGGACATCGAAACATGCTTTCGCTTTGTACCTTTGGCAGCTCCAGAATCAGAAACTCTTTTTGACATAATCGAAAGTTCAAGCTTACTTTTTTATAAAATTGCTCTAACAGTCTGCAAAATATAATAAGCCAGATAAAATTAGAAGATTAAGGAACAATGCAATCTGCAACATTAACTAAAATAGATAATTAGAAAATAGCCTAGCTTATACCGTCCGTTATACATTAAATGCGCATGCATAAACATATTATGCACATGCGTAAAGGTATTATGCACATACATAAACACAAATGCGCAGAAAGTTTGTAGCTTTGAGGTCCGGATCATAGATCATTCCAGATTATGGACATCCGGATTAAAAACTTTTTACTGTACTGGCAGAGATCTTACAGTGAAAGATGGCCTATTTAAAAAATGCTGTGAAAAACCTCATAAGTGATCTTTTGAGAAAAGGATGCAATTTACATTTGCATAAGTTTTTCACTTCACTGTCACTTGCATTAGATTTATATGATGCAAAAGCAAATGTTTGCGGCACAATCTTGAAAATGAGGAAAGGTCTGCCAAAAACCTTCCCTTCAAAATCAATCAGATAAAATGATTTAATTTAACTTATTCTTTAATTTCACAGATACATAATCTCTTGTTTACAAAGTTCCATTCTTCAAGTGCTAATTGCTGTGTTGAAAATTCCCACTAAACTGTCAATCAAAATCTTTTTTTCTCAACAACCTCTCTGTCTCATCACTATTAGCAGCATATATTTTCTGGATTTAGAATCATACTATAGATTTTGCCATCCTTTACACGATTAATGATTGAAGCTTTGTAATCGTAATGAAAAACATGTGTTATGATACCTATGTTTATTACCACTTCTCTACATTTCTTCACAAATTCTAATATGTGGAAAATTTCACCTTTTGTTTGCGATATCCAAAACCTTCAAATTCACGGCTATCATCATAATAAGTCTTAGCTAGCATCTGCTATAAACTGTTGTTTATGTATCATTCGGGATTGGCGACTAGACACATGTGGTTTGCTAAATTCTCTCTTGATCATATTGCACACCAAGAAGGTTAAGCCAGAATTACATTATTTTACTTATTTATTATACTTACATCTACTTTTGCATAGGCTTAAGGCTTATCTGAACAATAAATTGGTTATCATTAATTCAAATTGCTAATCTTTTGGCCTCTGATTATCATTTACAAAGTCTATTCTTTGCATACAGAAAGATATTTCTGTCAAATTTTCCCTCATCAATACAGTCAACATTTTGCAACATACTTATCTGAAATTTGTAATCATCTGCAAGCATAAAGTGAATTCAATTACTAAAATGTAGAAAAAATTGTTTAGGTATTTCTGCTTAAGTCATTTCTCAAGCTACCATATGATGACAGTCATGCAGTGATGAAAGTAAAAAAAAAAAAAAAAAAAAAAAAAAAAAAAAACAATGATTCGCCAGGTTACCATCAGGGATATAAGTTAGTCAGTAGGCGTTAAATTAATGATGCTTTGATGTAGAAAGTTTCAGAGAGATGCCAAACGAAGAAATGGCTATGGAGCCAATTATTTGATCATAGAGATTTATGCTAATAAATTGTTTTTTCAGTATGGAGGTATCTTATTTACTACCAAACAGAAATTAAAAATCAGGACTCTCCAGATGTTTTATTATGGATATTATCAAATGCACATGCATACAAAAAAAAAAAAAAAGTTGCAGTTGGTCCGGAGATCCAAATTTTAGATCATTTTGGATATTTGATATCCGGATTTCAGATTTTGAACTCTATTCATTAGCAAAGCCTGATTAAAATTTTGTTAGACCGTAAGCAAAGAATTTTGATGTCATACAGCTGTCTTTTCTAATTTTCATAAGGAAACATGAATATAAAATCAGAATTTCATCACATGGGCTCCCTAAATTCTGGAGCCTAGGTGGTAATAAAGCTCTAATCACTAGGTTATACAAACATGTAAATTAGCATGAAATATAACTTCTTAGTAAATTTCTTTAATGTAAAAAGCTTAATTCCTTAACGTTCTTGGTACAATAACTAAAAGCTTTAACATTAGTTACTCTTTACAATCAGAGAATAATGCAACTGAAAATACAGTCTGTTGACAAGGAATAAAATTTTGTCACTAAATAAAAGAGCAATACTTCTAAATCCTCAAGAAATAATAACCTCTGCAAAATCTTTTGATCAGTCCTGTGAATCAGTTTTAAATAGTTTGTGTTAAATGATCCACATTCACTAATAATTACTCACCTTATTTTTGCAGGCTTTAAACCGTATACTTCAATGTAATATGTTATTTCAGAAACCAAACGATCTGTCATAGTATCAAAATCATCAAAAGTTTCTCCCTAAAATATAATTCAGTATTTTAGTACTTAAAAAAATATATATTCCTGGGAAATGTTATATATCTAACACATTTATTTCATTGCAGGAATTTTATCCACACAGTGATTAAATGGGGTAGATTTTCTCAACCTTCCTTGCCCCATGCTCCTTTTACCATTGTTAGATGATTATTACCCCTTCTTTCCAAAATTTAAAAAATACATATTTATTTTTTTATTTTTATGTGTTTTATAAATTAAACAAGAAAAAGTATTCATAATGTTGATAAACACCCAAACTTGCATAGAAGGACTTTTTATATTCATAAACTAAAACTAAGTACTTAAGCCTTTGCTGTGTGCCTGCATGCCGCAAGAATGCAAAAATTTCAATTTTTCTAAATTTAAATCTATTCTTCCACAAGCATTTTATATTCAAAATAAAAATCTTTGCACTTCTAAATATCTAATACATATGCAGAACCCTAGAAATTAAAGTAATGTGTCTTATTACATTTAAATGTTAAATGTTTTTAAAGGATTCAAAGTATGGCATTTTAAAAATAAAAATATTATTCAGTGTGAAAAATAAGCCATCAAAATCCATTATTTAGATCCTAAATAATACGAATACAGCTTTATTTTAAAGTAAAATTAAGAAAAACGTTTAATTTTTTGTTGTAAAATCATAGCACTGTCATGTCATGAATGGTGCTCACCTTCAGCATAGCTTGCGTTTGAATTATGACGGTACAGATAATTCTTGCTCCAGCTGTAGGACTGTTTTTAGTTGAGCTCTCTAAAAGCTGAAAACATTTATTTGGGTAATTTGCTGCAAACATGAGCACTGGATGTGAAAGCGTCCTTGCCTAACTTTGTGTCTGTACGTGAGAAAAGTTTATCATTTTCTGATTGTATTTAGTTGCAGGTGGTTTCATTTGAGCTCTCTGAAAGCAAATAACATATTTGTATCAGCTGTTGACTGCGAACACGAGCACTGGATGTGGGTGGGTCTTTGCTTAATTTTGTATCTGTTTGTGAGAAATGTTTATTTTCTGACTGTTCAGTCGCAGGCACTTAATTAATTTGGATCACCATTTGTGTAGTTTTTTAAAAACGTTTTGTCAGATTTTATTACAATATATTTAGATATTGTAATCTAAATATATAATTTAGATATTAAATTGTAAATATATAGATTTTATTACAATTAAGAGTTTTAAAGTAATTATATGCTGTAGTTATATGTATATAGATAGATCCCTTTCCCCCCTTTTTTTTTTCTTTTTGCTTAATTTGAAAATGCCATGCAAAGGCTTAATACATCCGAGGCTCAGTCTCTGTTTGAACAAAGTCGCTCTTATTCAGAATCTATGATAATTGAAGGCAAAAGTTATGAACATGATAGCATTTTCCTCATGCTGCTGAAGAATACTTGGTTATTGAGACTGTAGTGGAGCAGGAAGAAAGTGATGAAGATGTTGAAATGAATTTGCCAGGTCTCTCAAGAGTCAAGAAAATGACATGGACTGCAAAGGCCAATCATGAAAAGTCTGTTCCTGACTTTTCCGAACAGCAGGGTCCAACAGAGGAAATTACTAACATGGAAAATCCTTCACCAATCAATATATTTCTCACAATATTTATTGAGATATTTATTGACAAAATTGCTTTTCAAATAAATTTATATGCAATACAGAAAGGAAAACATCTCTCCTATAACTATGCATGCACTTTTCTTGGAATGAACCTTTTAAGGAGAATAAAAAAAAACTGCCAAATTACAGTTTCTCCTCTAGCATTTAGATTCTGGATGACCCACAAGTATCAAAAGTTCCAGTGGATTTTAGGACATCTGCATCTGAATGACAACATTCATATGCCAAAAAGGATGACAATTTTGATAACTTGTATCAATTGCATCCACTAATAAGTCACTGGTCTAAAGAATTTTTTACTTTGTTATAGACAAATTAATGATCTGATTTACAGTAACAAGTTCACTAAAACAGTATATGCCGAAAACAAAATCAAAAGTAAATGCTTTGCGAAGACAGTGGTTATGCCTCATAATCTGAAAAACGTTAAAAAAAGGATCAAGAAATCAAAAGGAACTTGGCATAATGAATAACTAAAAGCATCTTTGAAGCGTCATTTTGGGAAATATCATAGGGTGTATATGAACAACTACTTCACGACTTATGAACTCTTTTGATTTCTTAACATTAAAAATGTATTCCATTCTGGAACAATTAATCTAAATAGGAACAATTTGCCAAAGACTTGCTGAGGATAAAAAACTGAAATAAGGCGATTTTGACTAGGCTGTTAGCAACAATGAATTAATGTGTTTGAAATGGAGAGATAAAAGGTGCATCTCCTTGTTAGTTAGCATTAATGGCTGCAAATATTCCTCAACCATAGAGAGGAAAGAAAAACCAGTATAAAAAAATGAAATCATTTGTCCAAAAGGTACAAAAGATTAAAGCAAACAAACAGGTTATGTAGATTACTTTGACCAAATTGAAAGAAAGTGTACACCAGAGGTTCACAACTATTTTAGTGACATGCACCCCTTTCTTCGTGCAACACAGTCATTCCTCCCTCCTTTCTAAAATTTTAAAAGTAGACACACATTTATTTAAGCTTAGGTTATTTTATAAATTAAACAAGAAAAAGTACAGAAAATGCTAATAAATACCAAGACCTAAATAAAAGTAGTTTTTTACAGTAATAAACTAAAACCAAATACTTTAGAGCAGAGGTCCACAGCTAGGCGGGATAGTCTCAAAGGGGAAAAGAGTCAGCCTTTTATTTCCCTGCTAAAAATTCAGTTTTAGTTTATAAATACAAAAAACTACTTATAAGTTTAGGTATTTATCAACATTTTCTATACTTTTTCTTATATTTTTAAATAATCTAAATTTAAATAAATATGAATGTATTTCTCGAGTTTAGGAATAGAAAAGAAGAAGAATCTAACAATGGTGAAAGGGTGCATGCAGCAAAGAATGTTGAGAACAACAGGCTGACTGCATTTCCCCCATGAAACAATGAAATTCTCCCGTAGGGGGTGAATTCCCCCTGGTTGAGAACCTCAGCTCTAAAGTATTTAATTTTAGTTGCATAATTCCCCATGTTTGAGAACCCCTGATCTATATGAAATTAATAGAAAAAGCAAAAAAATGGACAGTTTTAGAGGTAGCTGTAGTGAATGCTTTTTATAGTTTATGGTATGCTATCAAAGAGCAATACAGATCTGAAACAAATTAAAGCATTTAGGATGGAAATTATCCATGGTTTGATACCTACAGGATGTAATGAATTTATGAATGCTTAAAGAATGTGAATCATTTGCCAATACAATGCAAAGCAAGGAGATGCACCATTTGGTAGTGCAATAGAAAAACCACATAAAACTAGATTTATGTGTCAAACTTGCAATGCTGGGTAATGCATGTATCAAAAATGGTACATGTTTTGAAAAATTCCATTCTAAGTGATTTTTAATAATGAAATTCATCTTGTGACTATTTTTTATTAACATATAATTATTAATTACACACTCATTTTCATTATTATCATGGCTTTTTTCATATAATTTTGCTACTGATTATGCAGCTTATTACTTTCAACATTATGTATACTAATAATATACTGTATTATTTTATTAATAAACATCTAAAGGTTGTATAATGTATAGAAACAGAGGGAGGTATTATGTTTATAAACAATATTTTTTTTTTGAAATAGTCAATACTTTTTTATGAAAGAAAATCTTTAGTAGAGTTTCTTTTACAAGATATACAAGACTGTACACAATTTAAAGTAATGAATGAAATGAATGCACAATGACAGATCAGTTTATTTCCTGCATTAACAACTCCAATGTCCTATATGAATGCCCTTTGCATTGTGAGAAAGGCCTCCTCCTGAAGGGCACAGGACAATGTTTTTCAACCAAATGCTACTCATCTATAGGGTCATTATTCAACAACAAAAATATAAAAATGTAAGGGGTGCTTCAAAGGTTTAACAGGTAAATAAAAAGCAGACCTCATTCCTCCCGACAATATGAAATTCCTCCCGAGGCAAGAACTCCTGATTGATTCGTTTTATTTTAAGCATTGTTCTTTCTATATAAAATCAAAGCTATTACAACTACCTCAGAAATCAATTAGCATTCCTCTTTTTAATCAGAAACTAAAATTCAAAAAGACTTTACAGATATATAATGAAGCAATTAAATTATTTGACTGAATTAAATGTCGAAAATGATAAACCACAATGTGCAAAATATCCAGTTTTTAATTGAACCAGAATAAAAAGGAAGTATAACTTCTCAAACCTTGAGTAAAGTGAATGCTAAAATTAATGTAATCTCAAATTGCAAAGTTATTTAACATTCTAAAAATTCTAACTTGATATAGTTACCAAGATATAGGTTTCCCAGAGAGTTTTAATACTTTAAAATAAAAAAATCATTAACCACTTAAATAGTTAGTGGGAGGGAGAAGCTCAGCTATTTGAGCCACACACACTTCTAACAGAATGAAAAAACTGAAACTTGTGAAATTTTATCCAAATATGCAATTAGTACCACTTCTCCGTATCTGTGATTTAAAATACTGTTTATTACCTGATTTCGTTCAGACATCAGGAACTCAAAATTAACAGTTGGCAATCCAAGCTCCAGATAAGTTTTCACCAATCTTAAATCAGCACTATTTCCTGAAAAAATTTTATGTAAAAAAGCATTAATAGGTACGGTACTCACACAAATATGAACTTATATTTTATAAAATATTTTTTTTAAGGAAGGGTTATTTTATTCAATGAACAGTAAATAAAAATTTATTTTCCAGTTACTTTTACATTAAATAATTCAGACTTTTCAGGAAGGGTTGAATAAATACACAGATTCTAATTGAGCCCTTAGGTTTAAAAAAAAAAACCCTAATAGTTATACATATAAAGAATTCCATCTATCCCGAACTAATGTGTATTACTTATGAGAAATAAAATTAAACAGACTTCAGTGGTTAAAATCACACAAGAATGATTTTTAGATGCTGCTGCTAACTTACCATCCAATCCATGAACACAGACTACTAGATGCATTCCTTCAGGGCTAAAAGCTCGAAGATCACTATCACACTGAAAGTATGGAACACCAGAAGCAAGATTTGGGAAATCACTAAAGAGGAGAGGAAAACTAAAGTAAATAAAGGTCACATACAGACATTTAGCATCAACGTGAAATAGTCTTACGTATTACACATACATTAGAAACATATTAGGCTTTGTAAAATTGCAAATTTCAGTTGTGGCTTGTAAAATTCAGACTAAAAAAAAAAAAAAAAAAAAAAATGTGTGACTTGACCAAGTTCCAAAGAGGTCCGATTGTCAGCGTATGACTTGTTGGTACATCTGTAAGCCCAGGTACTATGTCTATAATCATAATGGGATACAATATTCTCAATAAAATGTCATCTGTGAGACACAGTTGTCGAAGAAAAACAAAACTTACTGAAACAGTCAGAAGGGCATTAAATTGGCCTGCTATGTCAAAAAGAAAAACTACCTCAAAAAAGGGTGACTGCTAAGCTTAATATGCATCCACAAAATCCACTTATGGCACATCCAGTACAAAAAGAAATACAAAGGCAGAATATTTAAGGCATAAGATGCTACCTCAAAAACTCATTTTTCAGGGATAAAATGCAAAACAAAGACTACAGTGGTACTAGGAATATAAAACATGAAATGTTGATCAACAAAAACATATACTGTTTTCAAATGAGTTATCCTTCACATTATTTTCCACGACAGGATGCAGAGAACCATGCTATGTGCACAGAACACCAGCAGAATATTGTGATCCAGACTATCTGCTTCCAACAAAAAAGCATGGCAGTGGTTCAGTCATGCTGGCTTAAAAGCCAGCATAAGTGATTTGTATCATGGTTTACAGCAGGTCCAAAACTCACTTTATGAGAAAACAATAAATATTATTGACCACACAACCATTTTAAGCAGCCATGTTCAATAGTACTGATACTTCCTTATGTTTAACTTTTCATCAACTTTTCAAGAAGATTATGCTGTCATTCAATGAAGTCAGATTGTTCAATCATAAGTTGAAGAACATGAAGTTACTCATCTGCTCTAGCCTAAACAACTACCAGATTTAAATAAAATATTACTGGTTTGTGATTGGAAAAAAGTGAGATCCTGTTCTTCTCTCCTAGTATTTCTCAAAAATTTAAAACAGTTTTAGATTGAAGAACATTATAAAATACTTATTACCAACATTCAGAACTTGTATGCCTTTATTCCAAAAAGAATTTAAGCAGCTTTGGATGCAAAAGTTGAACTTGCATCATATTCAATACACAATTCTTCATACTTTTAGCTATTTCCATCATTCTGGACAGCTTCTCTACTTACTTCTTTTTTTAATGACAATGATTTGACACACGGACACTTTATGGGTAAAATCACAGCAAAAAAAAGGTTTTTTTTTTTTTTTTTTTTTTTTTTTTTTAAATTTCTATCAAGATAAGGCCTCTTCAAAAATAAACACTTTTGAAGTGGAAGTTTCCACTTTGTGTGAAAGCTCATTCACAAAAACTGTTTCAATACAACCTATTATTTTTTTGCTACTTTACCCTAGCTTTTCTTTTCGAGAACTGAAAACTGATTTTAATTTTCAACATTTTTCACATTAGTCCCTCATTAAAAATTTTCAAAACAATACAGAAAGTTAAAGTACAGATTAGGTCAAAATATAAGTAGCTGAGAATAGGTCAAGACATTAGGTTAAAATAAAAGTAGTTACTTTGAGAATGCTAATTTTCTTAATTAGTACAATTATTAATTAGACTAATTAATTATAATAGGACACTCAGTTATATGCTCAAGGGAACAAATGATTTTGTGGAGGTATTTGTATCTATATGCACTTAGCGAAAAATCATAAAAAATCCATACATTCATCTCAGTGAACTAATAAGTAACTGGACTTGCGATGAAATACCCATATAACATGGTTTAAGGCAATTGCACACTGGCTGGAGTAAAAAAACACTAAAGAAGAAAAAGAAGAAAGAAAACTTACCTATACCATAGCCATGAATATCGTAACTGTTTACGAAATTCTTCTTTTGCCTTTACAAAACTAAACAGAGAGAAAAATTAAGATGTGTGATAACATACTTCACATAAGTGGCATTGCAATTAACCAGCAAATTTAATATGGAGAAGATACATTATGGCCAGACTCAATACAGAAAAATAAATAGCTTTGAACTTCTCTTCAAATTTCTCTTTTGAAAAATTAATACCTTAAAAACACACATGCTATTCAAATATAAATGGTATCAGTTTAACTTCCAGATATATCTGAGAACAAATTTACTTAGATCATCCTTCTGCCTATAACTAATAGATTTTGGCCAGATTTAGGGACAAACTACAAAACCACACTAATCAAACACCACTCAGTGCTAACTTTGCATATGGCCTCATGAAATTATTAGTTATTAAAATTTCCATAAATTTTGCACTAAAAGAAATGCAACATGGGTCATGAACATATTACTAATAGGACTTTTTGAACCACAGTCAGCTGCTTCATAATAGATGAATGAAAGTCAATTATTTTCCTTTCTGGCTTGCCTCAAAATCATGATAATGTCTGCTGCAGAGAATGGTTAAGTTTCTTGATCCCCCAATACTAATTCTGTTTAGTGTGCTTTGATTTTGCATTAAATCAAAATCATGTAGTAGAATGCAGAATTATTCTAGGAATTGAAAATAATTTCATGACATCACCATCAACTCATTTTCGAAAATTTTAAGTACCATATTTGACCGCATATAAGACGCACTGGCATAAAAGATGCACCCTCATTATAGAAGGCAACACAGAAGGAAAAAAGTTTCGTGCGGTACCACGATAACTTAAAATGTGTTTTCTTTTAATTCTCACGTTTCGTAAAAGCCAAATAAACAATCATTGAACGCAATTACCAAACATATTTTTATTAAGGAAAATTAACAAACGGCAAGCTATTTTGAACATGATATGTAAATTTCAATAATGAATAAATGAATGAACGGCAAGCAATCAAACATAACACAAAATAAAGAAGAAACCACAAAAAACACAGATTCAAGGAAAACGTTGTCTATCATGAAATTAGACTTTAATCACTTTCAAAACCATAAAAATCCTTTTCACTATCATCATCACTACTGTTTCCGTCATCGCTAGTATCACCTTCTTCGAATAATGTGTCGTCTTCTGTTCAGTCAAGAGTATTACTGATTCCGCACTTCTTAAAGGACTTAAGAATTACTTCAGCCTTTACGTCCTCCCAGGATCTTTTTACACACTCGCACACTTGTGAAATAGAGGGCCACTTCATGAGGGTGTGAGGGCGTGATGTGGCTCTCCTATCCACTTGTTCCATTGTTCTCATACTTTTTTCTTAAATGGCTTATTCACCGATACATCTAAAGCCTGCAATTGGCTAGTCAGTCCACCAGGAATGACAGCTATCTGGGTGTTTAATTCTCTTGATTTATTCTTTATGGTTTTGCTTCTATGGGCACTAAACTCATCCAAAACCAAAAGAGAGGGTTTTCTTAACAGTCCACCAGGTCACCTCGCCTCACATATTCTGTAACCACAGTTTCATCCCAGCTTTGTCCATCCAACCTTTCGGATGAACATGAACAATTACACCCGTTGGAAGTTTTTCTTTTGAATATGAAAAACGGCGGTAGTTTTGTGCCATCAGCACAACATGTTGGAACTACTGTATATCGGGTTTTTTTCATGACCTGTGGTTTTTATGGTTATTGATTTAGACCTTTAATATTCACAGTCTTGTTGGATGGTACATCAAATGTGAGTGGAATTTCATCCATATTTCCTATTTGACTGAGCTCAAAAGAAGTTTTTTTGCGTGCATTTATAACAAACCTATGAAATGCTAGTATTTTTTCTTCATAATCTGCTGCCATTTTCTGTGCAACAGTTGTTTTTGTGCGCATTGATAAGCCGTGCCTTTTCATGAACCTGTAGCACCAGCCCTCAGACCCTGAAAAGTTCTGATTCCCATGTTTCTCTTCAAAACCTTTGGCTTCATTGATTACCATTTTAATTGAAACACTTATCCCAGATTTCTTCTTATCTATCACCCACATTTTTACGGCATTTTCAAGTTCAGGCCAAGATGGACCTGGCCATCGAAGGTTAGGTTTTTGTTTTTTAGCAGTCTTCAGTTGATCTTCCTGCAGTCGCTAAGTACGTATCATTTTTTCGGTAGGTGGTGGACCGAAATGCCTTGCTGCTGCTCTGTTTCCATGCATTTTGGCATAGTTTAACACTCCTAGTTTATACTGAATTGTATAGCATAATCTCTTGTTTCCTGTAGTCATATTTTCCAGGGTATTTTTTTTAAACAAATCGTTTAAAGCACCGATACCGAAACGTTTATACATAGTAACACCGATACCGACACGTGTGTCGGCTGAGTCGAAGAAAGTCTATGTAAAGAAGGAAAGGCTGAATAGACGTAATGTGACCGTCGAACCTGTTCGAACTTCGACATCAGCTTTCGAGTTTTGGTGCTTTTTGGTGACAGATATTTCACGCATGCTTAAAATAATTATGGCAGATGTAGAAAAAGTTGTCTCTCTAGACCTTTATCCGGGCTAAAAATAGCATTCAGTATTGAAAGTTAACCTATGTCCTTCACGTATAAGATGCAGGTAACTTTTTTGAGACCAAAATTAGGAAAAAAAGTGAGTCTTATATGCCGTCAAATACGGTAATTTTATGTCTTTGACCATTTTTAAGTTAACATATACAATGAAAGAGGAGAAAATGAACCAAGAATAAATAAGAGACTTCACAAGCTAGCAAATGCTGCTTCCCTTTCTATAAACTGATACAGTACAAAGTCAGTAATCCGGACTCGTCGGGACTTCGGCGATTCCAGATTATAGGTCACCAATTTAAATCTGGGAAGATGGCATGCAGAAATTATACAATTAAAAATATGAAACCGTAATTTATGAAATAAAGAGCAATTATGATCTAAAGGGTATCAAAATTTACCAAAAAAAAAAAAAAAAAAAAAAAAGCTTAATATTTATTTGTTTACTTTATTAAACATTTCTTTCAATGTAAGTTGTTTAAGTTGCTTTTTTTTTTTTTTTTGTGCTAATACTTTCTCTTTAATTCTCTTTTGTATAAACAGACATAATTTCTTGTTCAGTTAGAAAGTTCCACTGTTCAAATCCTGTAATTGCTGTGTCGAGAATACCGACTAACTTGTCAATCGAAATTTTTTTGCTTTCAATAACCTCTCTGTCACTTTCTTCACTATCGGAAGCACGCATGTGTAAATGCTTTACTGGCTTTTCGCACATATGTAAACGCAGTATGCGCATGCGTAAGTTTGTGGCTTTGACGTCCGGATTATAGATCATTTCGGATAATGGACGTCCGGATTACGGACTTTGTACTGTATTGTATATTTGTACTGTATTTTAAAAACCTTTAAAAAACATAGATTACTGTTTAAGAAAGGAAAAGTTTACAATTAAAATTTCTTTTAAAAGAAATCATATAAGTGTTTCACAGCTCTTTATAAATACAAAATATTTACTGTTGTCAACACAAAAATAATCTTCAGTGAAGGAAAATATTGAAACACTGCTAAAATATTAACATTTAAAGCATCATCACCTATTTTTATTCTTTCCTAAATAATATGCTATAAACTGAGAAATATCAAAATATTAAAGTTCTACAAAGAGATGGGGGGGATATGTACAGAGTGTTGCAATCCAGGAATCACTACAAAATTTCATTGGGACTTTTGTTTTTGTATAAAACATAAAATATTCAAGGCTGAGTTGAATTATGGTCTCAAACAAAATGGATGGAGAAATTCTAGGCAGTGACAGTGATGCATGCTATTATCACAAGCTGACATAAATTGCTGTGAGAGAGTCTCGATTTTTCATTCAAATGAATTCTTGCACAAAACACAATAGATAACTAAATAATGTCAGTATTTTCATGCCTTCACTGAAAATTAAATTTACTAACCAGAATTGTATTTGCAAAATATAACATAAACTTGAGCAATGGGCCATTTATCAAAACCAAACATATATATTAATAACTTTCATAATTGTCTTTTATTTACTGATGCTCCTAATGCAGCCTCGAATTCCTCTTTGCCATTTTTAAGTAATCATTGCTAAATTTGCGACAAGAAAAGTAAAAAATTATTTGTATTTAAATCAAAAACAGGTAGACATAAAAGAACTATCTAACCAATAAATATATTTTATAATACAAAATCAGAATGGTTCCAATTTTGGTAACTAAAAGCAGAAATATACACAGAAAAATAAAATTACTGTGTGTGGATGAAAATAGATGACAGTAAAAAGCTGATATCTAATATACTTAGAAAGATATATCTTTTGCTATACATACTTTAATATCTTAGTTAAATGCTTTTCCTTCTTATTATTTATTCTCATGTTTAAAAGAATGAGTGATGGCAGCAGACAGTTCTTTAAATTCTCTAATTTTATACAATATTTTTACTAATATTTAATTCAAAAAATTCATTTTTTATTAATATTATGGGAATAGCTGTGTAACAACTTCCATCAGGATATTCAAATAATATCAGAAAAATATTTATGCAATGTTTAGCAACAGTATAAAATAACATCAACACATTACACAAAAAAATTTCTGTCAAATGCTCACCTTATCATTTCTGTTCCAATAACTGATGCTCTACGGATACTAGGTGTATCTTCTCCAGATGACACGTTTGTATTAAATAAACTGCAACTTCTTTGTCTTTCTGTACTTGAATTTAAAGAAACTTCAGCTATACCCTCATCACTATCAGCAGGCAAATATGAATTATCAGACTCAGATAAATCACTTAGCATTTCCATAATGGTACATTTTGTATCAATAAACTCAAAGAATTTTGATGAATTTATTTCAACATCACCTGCATTCTTGGGAGAATATTCTATTTCTTTGCATGAAGAGCTTGGCTCCTCAGCAGAAGAAATAGTCTCACTTGAAGAATTTTCACTATTATCCTCTTTAGTTTTGTTTGTTTTAACTGTCTCATCACCAAACTGAGCTGGCGGTTTAGGAAAAAACAATGTCCCCTGGCAAATAATACTAGTCAAACAATTATCATTAGGCCATGGAAAATTTGATTTTGCATATACGTCAACAGGAGATACTTTTTTCACCACTTTTGATGATTTTCCATTTTTCGTTGAAGATATTTTCTCAGCACCCATATCTGGAGGATCTTTAAATTGCACTGGAGGTGATGGAGGGCATATATCACAAATATTGGAATTAAAAACTACTTCACCTGTTGAAGTGTTAGATTCTTCTGAAGCTATTGACAATGGTACAAGAGAATTAGATTTATGAGACTTTTCTTTTACTACACGGTTAAATATTGTTTCACCTCCAGATTTTAATGGCTGGCTGGATACAATATATTCAGATTGCTTATTCATTTGTTCTTTAACGGAAGATATACTAGGCACTCCACAAGTATCTTTAAATGGGTCACTGGGTGTAAAGTCAGAATGAGCATCATTAAGATTCTCAAATACAGAATCATCATTTCTTTTATGTTTTTCCGGTTCAGTGTGCATTGCAGACATGGAATGAATATGAGAGCATTTAATTTTATCTTCGATGTCATTTTTTGCAGAACATAAGCTGCATGGCAAAGTACCTTGATTTTGTAACGAAGATTCAGATGCCTTCTCTGAGTCAGTATTTTTCAATCGTGGTTTTTGTGTTGGAGGTGGTGGTGGAGGAGGTACAAAACCAGATGTCAAATCAGGCATTGATTCACTATTAGGAATTGACACATTGCCCTCTGCATACAAAGTACTCATAACAGAAAGCGTACTTTGAGAATGGCGTATGCCACTGTCTAATGCAAACGGCATTCTTGATGATTTATTACTCCCACTAGCTACACTACAGTAAGAATCTAATTTTTTAACACCCAGTAATACAACTGTAGGATTATGATTGAACTGTGGTTTTTTTAATTGGCGTAAAAAATTCACTGTTCTTGATCTTAAATTAATTTTTGATCTCACATTTATTTTATGACTTGCTCGTGACAATGAACTAGCAGGAAGCACATTTTCGTCATAATCACTATCAAATTCAGCTTTAAAATTGTTCATAATTTTTTCTTTCAATGATAGTTTCTTTGATGGAATACAGTTTGATTTTGCAGATGTGGATGATGAAACCATCGATTCTGGACACCAAGAATAAGCAGATGGGCTTGTTGGAGTAGCAGATATATCAGGAGATCTATATTTTTGGCCTAGAGATCCCTGAGAATTTCTTCTAACTGCTTCAGTACCTTCCTCTATATTTTCTTCCACAAGGAAATTGACATCTGTTAAACTGACCGCTGATTCAGATTCTGTTGAAAATACATTTGAAAATAATGTAAATTCCTTGAACATAAAAAGGAAATGGTTCAAATAGGAAATATTTTATGCAAAGAGAAATGTAGATAGAAAAATAACACAAATGTGTGTGTGTGGGGGGGGGTCAGTAAAAAAATAACAGACACAAAAAATAAAACAAACATGTTAAAGTATAACTTCAACCTTCAACTATATAAAATCAAAATTCACTACTCTACAAACAGGCCAAAATAAAAAATTAGCTTACTTTAACAGGAAATATTCAAAAGCATCTGAAGATGTAGATAATATGTTACACGATGTAAACAAACTTTTCCGTCTAATGTTATCAATTATTATTATTCCTTTAATGACATTCATAAAAGTTTTCAATACTGCTTTAAAATTGTTGAGAGCACAGTTACTTTCTGTCTCATGACTAAAAAATCTAATCATTTTTGCAATTTGAAACAAACAAATTTATAAAAAAGTATTAATTTTTTTAAAACAAAGCGAGTAAAATACCTAAGCTTTGTGTGGATTAAGTTGGAATTATAGCCTATGCAGACAACAAAGCAAGAAAATGCAATTAGAAAGCTGACATTGCTAAATTCAATTAATAATATGGAGCTAAAATTTTGAACCCCACTTTTAAGGAAATAATCGATGCAGAACAGTTTTTATAGAACTTTATCATTTGCATAATTTTAGATGTGTAATTAAAAATAATATATAAAAAAAAATCAGAGTTATCATTCCAGAAAAACACCTGATTTTGTGTTATATACATGTTAGAAAAAATGCTAACAAATGCAAGGTGAACTTTTTCAAGCACCTAGGACAGAGCATACAGAATACCTCAATGCACATATATCACAGATTTCAGATGAGAGAAATACAAAACTGTCATTTAGGGAGATGCATACTGTCATGATATCATAAATGGCAGCCATGCAAATTTGCATTACTGAGGCAGAACAGACACATTATAAAATTATCAGAAGGGGATGCCATAAAGGATGATTGTGTATGTTATGCTGCAAACCAGAAGAAACATTATGTTAAGATACAATGACATGCTGAACAAGCATTAATTCAGAAGTCAAACAACAAAAATCAGCACTATAAAATTATCAAAAGGGGATGCTATAAAGGATGATTGTGTATGTTATGCTGCAAACCAGAAGAAACATTATGTTAAGATACAATGACATGCTGAACAAGCATTAATTCAGAAGTCAAACAACAGAAATCAGCGCTATATTTTCAAATTTTTGCCGGACTGGTTTTGATGTTTTTACTGAACCATCATCCTCACCTGCAAAAACACAAATGAACGAGATAGGACACAGTGATTAGATACGATAAGATAAGAAAGACTGGACAAGAGTTAAGCTACTGGCGCCATCTGTTGATGAAACGAGTAAAACATAACTTCCACAGAAGCTGAAGGCAAAGATTGATTGGAATTAGGGTCATTAACTAGAAAGAAAGATGTTTTTGAATGTGAAATGCCTCTAGAAATTTCAATTCACCAATGAAAGATTTTTTTGAATAATTTTGGCTGCAGAAAAATTGAAAGTGTGGTTTTCAGACCTTCTGTGTAAAGAAAAAACTTCTGTGTTTCCTTTTTTCTAAAATATGCCTCATGTTCCTTAACACAAAATTTTAAGGCTCTCCTAGTTTGACCAATGTAAATTAAACCACACTGGCAAGGAATCCTGTAAATACCCCAGGAATTCATATCCAGAACGGAGTCCTTGGGTATGGAACTCCGAATTTTATTGATGAGAGAATAAACAACCCAAAAGTTAAATTTCTGTAAAATAAGCACAATTTTATAGCTAATTGATGGGAAAAAAAGGAATGACAGCAGAATTCTTATAATCTAAAACAAGAGTGTGCCTTTTGGAGTGTTGAGATGAGAATTTTTTAACTGCTTGATTAATAATTTTGGGTGAAAAGTCCCTGTCAATAGCAAATGCTTTAAAATAACTTAGTTCTTCATCAAGAAACAGTTTGGAGGAGCCAACTTGAAATGCATAGAAAACATAGGAATAAAATGAAGCTAACTTTTGTTTAGTCGGATGACATGATTTTAAGTGTGGCAGACCTTTATTGGTTTGCAGTAAACCATAGTACTAAAATTGGATGTGTTACATATGACCAGAATGTTGAGGAACGGAAGAGAATTACATGTCTCAAGTTCAAAAGTGAACTGAATAGCAGGATCAATGGAATTCATTGTTGAAAGAACTTAATTTAAATCATCTTTATTACCTTCAAACAGGGTAAAAGTATTGTCTACGTAGTGGACCCATACTGGGAAATTTAAAGTTTCAAATAATTTTGATTCGTAATAATGCATGTAAATGGTTCAGTAAAACCATCGAAACTAGTCCCACGAAAATTTGAAAATATAATTCTGATTTTTCTTGTTTTACTTCTGAATTAACATTATACTGTTAGTTTTATGTGAATGATATACAGTCAAATGTCTTTAATCTGGATGTTCATAATCCGGAATGATCTATAATCCGAACCTCAAAGCTACAAACTTTCTGCGCATGCATAAACGTATAATGCGTTTGCGCATGCGCATAATACCTTTACGCATTCGCATAATATGTTTACACATCCGCGTTTAATGTATAATGGACGGTATAAGTTATATCTAATTATCTATTTCAGTTAATGTTGCAGATTGTGTTGTTCCTTAATCTTCTAATTGGATCAGGCTTATTATTTTTTGCAGATTGTTAGAGCAATTTTATAAAAGTAAACTTGAACTTTTGATTATGTCAAAAAGAATTTCCGATTCTGGAGCTGCCAAAGGATCTACAAAGCGAAAGCATGTTTCGATGTCCATCAGACAAAAAGTTAAATTGCTACAAAAGATGGATAAAGGCATATCTTTTGTTTCTCTAACCATTCCGAAATCCGTTTATCAATTTCACGCTGCTCTGCCGGGGGAAGGGGGGAAATGTCGCGGCGCGCAATGAACTGGAAGTTGATCTGTCAGCACTATCCGTATCTTCAGGGCAGATGTTTTTATTTTATTCGCGTTATAATTCCTTACTAAATGTAGTATTTCATCTCGTTTTACTCCGTCTTTGATATGATTTAAATCAAATTCCTCATCATTATAAATATCACGAATACACATCAAATAGTTTTCTGGTTGCAATTTTCTAATTTCGCCTAATTAATGTATTATTAATTAATTTCTAAATAATGTATTATTAATTACTAATTAATGTTCTAATTAATGTATGCTTTATGCACTGCGCTCATTGAAAGAAATGTTTAATAAAGTAAACAAATAAATATTAAGCTTTTTTTGTAAATTTTGATACCCTTTAGATTATAATTGCTCTTTATTTCATAAATTATGATTTCATATTTTTAATTTTATAATTTCTGCATGCCATCTTACCAGATTTAAACTGATGATCTATAATCCAGAAAACCAATAATCCGGAATCACCAAAGTCCCGACGAGTCTGCATTAAAGACTTTTGACTGTGTATCTGTTTATTTGTTTGTGTTATAAATAAAGTGTTGTACTGTACTATGTATGAATTATGAAATTTCCCACATCATGTACATATTAATATGTTCCACCTCCCGATGAAAGTCTCATATTGGCGACAAGATGTGGCATATTTATAACAGATTATGCATGTTCAAATTATTCTATCGGAAACTGAAGTTTAATTATAAGAGAAATGGTTGAAGCAGAACTTGTAAAACTCAAGAAAGAATGGAAAGTATCCATTCAGCCGTAATTAAAGTAACAGGTTCTATTGAAGCCTTAATTTTTTTTATAATATTGAAGATACAGAAGAACAATTAGATATTTTAAAATTAAAAGCTGTGCTTATGAAAGTGTTGGATGAAAAATTAGAGATTTAACTGATGGAAAAGGAATTGAAACTGAAGTCAAAAGCACCCCGGAATATGAAGAAAAGATTATAAAATGGAATTTTGGAGGCATGAAATTATTAAAAAAAGTGGGAAATGCAAACAATTCACTAGTTTCTAAAGGCTGGTGTTATTATTTGGAGTTCTGATTACAGTGTTAAAATGCTCAAAATTATGATTTATAATTGTTATGGAAATGCTGAGATGTGTTAAACACTTTATAATACTTTTGATACGGCAATAAATCAAAATGAAAATTAACTTAATTTTGATAAGATCAATTATTTGCTTAGTTTATTAGGTGGTACAGATTCAAAACCTGTCAAAGGATTTTTATTATCCTCAGAGAATTATGAAGCACATAAAATTCTTAAGGAAAGATTTGGTCGGAAAGACCTTGTTAATTTGTACATGAATATATTGTTAAAATTACAACCTGTATGAGGTTCAAATGATATGAATGGTTTGAGAGAATTACATGACACGTGTAAGCATGGAGGTAGGAAGTAAGATGGAGTCGCCCTAAACAAGTTTCTCCCGTACCCTGCTCTGAAGCACCGGCGATCCCTACGTGGTGACCAAAACATTGGGTAATTTACCATTGAGTTCAATGGGATTTGACGCTTCGGATGTAAATATTTTGTAATTACGTCGGAAATATACATATAAATGTATATATTTTCTTTTCCTACAACACTTCAGAGTCTTAAGTATGTGAAAACAACATATTTTTAAACAACAATTCATTCTGAACAGAATTAAATGCTATACATTTCACAGGACAGTTTTCTCAGAATGGTTTAATTTGAATGAGATATTTTCACAAGTTTTAGAAAAAAAAAAAAAATATGGTAATTCGATTTTATTCGGTTAAGGTACAAAAATTAAGATCAAAGTTTATTGTATTATTAATACTAAAATTATGCATTATTTCTTTCTATTTATAGAGCTTCTTCCTAAAATACTTTCTTAAATATGACATGATTTTTTGGCTTCTGAGGCATCTTTTAAATCGAAAAATGTAAGTCAATTTATAATTAATGCTCTATTCGGTTCATTTTAAATTAGAGAATTATTAGGAATTAGTGAAATACTTTAAATCTGAAAGGGAATAAAATAAGTTTTTTTTTGAAGTATTATTTAAAACTTGTAACTGAGTTATTATAAAATGTAAGGGGAATAATTCTTTTAATTATACTTATCAGATTTTTTTTTACCCTTCATTTCAACAATACATAATCCAAAACTCTTTATTACGTTCTTAAGTGCGCATCTCATACCATTTGCTTTACAATACCTTTTAACAGATTGCTTTCCAATATGAACAATTCTTGCTTAAATCGTTTTATAACGTATTTGTCAACAGGATTTCAATTTATGGTTACAATTCAATATTAAGGTTATTATATATTTAGATAACATTTATAATTATTATAAATTAGATACATTTAATAATTAGATTTCTTCACAGTACTTTCACAGTTGTTTACAAGTGAATAAATTCTTCATTTCAGATACATTTATAAATAATTTAATGAATATTTATGTATTTTGTCAAAGGCAGATACATGGTTTTTGCAATAATATGCAACAATGATATATGGATGTGAAAAAAATTTGTTTTATTTAAAACATTTTGGCGTTTGGAAAATAAAATAAAAGTAGCGAATACTCTATCAAGGGTATCGAAAAGGCGTATACAATTTTAAATGTACCGTAAGGTATTTTTCATTCTTTAAGCATAACATTTTTCTTAAATCTATATTTTGTAGTCAACAGCTTAGAATTTTATAAAACAATTCATAATCAAATCGGTGTTGTTAGTTATCGAAAAATAACCAAGATTGACTTTTTGCGTAAATGTCACTAAACTATACAAATTGCTATTATCCATCACACTATGCATGTTTCTTTCATGCGAAAGTGTCCTTTTTCGATTTGTATGGAACTGTCGTGTGTCGAAATACTATCAGAATCCTGTCAAGCGAGCTTCTGAATGTAAACAAAGAACACCCCATCTGGTGACCCAAGCTTCAAAGCAGTGCTTCACTTCTAGTGTCGATTGGCCCCTCCTTCCTTTTTTACCTCCATGCCTGTAACATACAAATTAGATCATTAAATTCATTAAACTGAAACATATGAAAGTTACTTTATCCTTTGATACTCAAATGTATTCCTAGGGATACAGCACTTGAAGTGTCAGAAAGCTAATGATGAAAACTGTAATGTCAAAGACCTCATGAAATTTCTAACACGGGGAATCGATAGCCACAATTTAACTTCGGAAAATTTATCTCCCTCTAAGAGTTATGCAAATTTTTCCGAGGAGTATTTATTTCCCCAATGGAAATGAAATAATTTCCACACTCATAATTCTCTCAACTCCAGTATGATTATCAGTGCCAAAAATTCCATTAATGTAAACAAAATTACAATTGCTTCACTTTTTTTTTTGCTTATTTGTGAAACCCAAGGTCATATTTCAGAAAAACGTGTTATGCCATAGGAAGAGTTTAAAAGATTCTAATTGGTGCATTCTTTGTATCGAAAGGAACTGCAGAACAAAAATTTGCCCTTCTCAATAAAAATGTTGAAAATATAATTCTAAGCATGATAACATACTGTTGCAAGAAGTTTATACCTTTTGCGATGGTGCACTTTTGCGACGTGTATACCTTTTGCGACGGTGTTTAAAGACGCTCATGCGGGACAGAAGGGAATCGAAGGCATCACCGTACAGGATGAAGGTTTTGCATTGCTAAGCCTAATTTTATAAAAAAAGTCAGGGAAAAAAGTTTCACTTCTAGCATTGTAATTTTTGGTATCATTTTAGATTATTACTTGAGCTCTTATATATGTTAAAATTAGCACTTAACCTTTTTTTTTCTTTATTTTGCATGAAAATATACTTAAAGAATTGCTTATCTTGTAAAATAATTTTTGGAAGCGCTTTTCAAATTATTCCAAAGTTTTATTTCATAAAAATCCATCAATAAAGCTAAAATTAATAAAACAACACATTAAAGACTATTTACAGTAAGAAGTAACAAAATTTAAAATGAAGACTGCGTGTGGTAAATCTCAAAGCACGGAGAAGTATCACTTTCTAACTCTTTAGAAAATGAACTTCAAAAACTGTCACTTGAACACAAAGAATTTAAAGAATAAATCATGAATAATTAATTTACAACTTAACAAGTGCTTTCTCATTTCACACAGTAAAACAGTAGTAACTATTGCTAACTTTGTGGCTAGTGTTATAACAATGTATGAGAACTAACATCATTTATGCATTTCAAGAATAGGTATAGTGATATATAGAATGGAATAGGTATAGGTAAAAGTAATATTTCGACATTTCTAAGCTTAATAAATGCAGATCAAGCTGATACAGGTATATTTCAAGACTACATTTATGTCAGGTTTGAGGTACCAGTCAGACTTTTATGGTAGTTTGGGTTAATAGACTAATATAAAATTTAAAAGATTTCACCGGCTTCAGAAATCAGAGCTCTTATAAAATACAGTTACAAGATCTGTGTGAAAGATCCAAGATTCTAAACGCAGGAAGGTGGGATGCTATCCATGACAAAATTTGCAAAAGATTCACCCATTAATTCCTTAGTATTTCTAAACATAAACTAAAAATATGGGACCACGTGCTATGGTGAAAGTCTTGGCAATTCCTCTAATATTTCTTAGAGTTTTACTATGGACCAATCAGCATCCCGGCACAAAGAAGTTGCAATCCAGGACGTGGTCTGACGAAGGGAAGGGAAGGGAAGTGGAGCTAGAGAAGAGGAAGGGGAAGGCCTGATGAAACAGCTGGTAATCTGAAATGGTAGATTGTGATAATGATGCAGAGAAATTAAGCATTATTCTAATGGAAGACAACTATGAGTTTATTGCAGGAAACAAATAATTTCAGTGAACATCTGAGAGAGAGAAAGCAAGCCCTCTTCATTATAAAATTAAGCTCTGAAAGGAATGCATTAAGCCTAGTTACATAAAAGGAACTTGTAGTTAGGCTTAGAGACTTATTGTATTCTTTTCATTTCATCATTTCTACATGAAAGGAAACTGATTCTCTTTATCAATGTATTATTCATGTAGCAGATTTAAAACAGCTGGGACATGAAATGTAAATACTCAGAAATTTACATTTCATGTCCCAGCTTCATGGCATTCATGGGACATGAAATGCAAACACTTATGATATACACTAGTGTATATCATAAGTGTTTTATTACAGCCTATCAGTGTCTAACTACAGACCTCACATTAGGTTAATGAACAAATGAATGGATAATGCTGACTACAAAACTGATTTGGACACAGGTACCACAGTGAAGAAACAAAACAAGTAGCAAATAAAATCATTAATTTTAACTTAAATACAAATAGCAAGTAAAATAATAATAAACTGAAATTCACTTAAATATCTTAGAAGAATCAGCAGCCAATAAAACTTGTTATAGAAAACTAAATGTTTTAATTAAATTTTTAAACTAAATGTTGAAACAGAATGTTATTTACATGATCAAAGAAGAAATAAGAGGAAGCTGCAATGCATATTCTAAGTGATCATGTTGTCATGATGTAAGAAGTTTTATGTATTTGAGCTCTATAAAAACTAGAATGATGTCAAGATGATCCGAGTCAAAATTATGACAAAAAATGACATTAAATTTAAAATTATACAGAGACTTGCATACACAAATTACGCTAATATGTGAAGCATGCTTAGCAGTAAAAATAAAATAAATATATATTTTTTAACTCTTTTAGTATGATTTCAAACATAACCTTCAAATTTGAGAACAAAAAGCAGCACAATACTTAATCATAGTTCAGTACACATATAATGCAGAATTTATGTCATTTTCTCAAAATTGATTTGCCACATGAATTTAATCTTCATATGAACAGAAATATGTTGCTATATTAATAGACTTGATAGCAATTATATCTAAATTTCATGAATTAGTCTTATATTTTATTCCATCAAAAATGAAACTATTGTCAAACAGCATGATTTAATGCCAGTTATGGATTAATGTGACATGACCACACCCTCATAATATCCCTGCTTTCAACTCCACTGATAAGACATGTAGAATCACATTTGTGACTGCCCTCTGGTTCAGAATTAATATTTGTTGAATGGGGAAAAGAACAGCTGAGATAACGCTGCCAAAACAATAATAGATTTCAACTCATAGCATTCTAAAGAGAGCTTCTGGTAAAATGTAAAATTGGAGGCTTAACAAAAATCGACCTTAGCCTTATTACAAAACGCAAGAACAAAGTCTATCAATACTTCAGCAGCAGTAGCTATTTGGTGGACTATGCAGAGAGACTGACAAATGCTTTTATGGTTAAGATTTACAGATAAAAAAGTGCAGCTCAGAATTTCACACAAACGACTGGCATAACTTAAGCAAGATCTCTGACAGTTTTCATGATCATTGAGACAGTATGTGACCCATGAATTTTTTTAGATAAGACCTTTCAATATTCAATCACAAAATATAATGAAGCATCAAAGTTAATTTTTATTTAATGGCAAAGAAATTTATTATACATCCTGCCACTACTTACGTGAACTTTGGCTATTACTTGAACCCCTGCGAGCAGTTTCTTGATAATGTTCTTCATACACAATTGGCAAGGAATTCAGATCTCCATCAAACTCAAGACACTCTACTTCTAAGGGAGGCAGTAAGTTAAAATATGATGATTTCCTTAAGCACTCTGAAACTTCTTGATAAGCTTCAACACTAAACAGTAAAATTTTATAATTAGAAATTCATTCCTAAAATATAAGACAAATTGTTTAATAATATATAATAATTAATTTATAATTTCTTGTTAACATTAAGCAGAAATGTAATTTTTAAAATTATGTTACTTATGTAAGGAAGAAAAATTTTCTTACAATTTATTTATTAAAAAGAAGACAGCAACATTTGTGTTTAATTATTTTAAAGCAAGAAACACAACTATTGAGATAGAACACCTAAATATATTTTCATTTATAATGAAGGTGGAATAATGAGACAGTTACATACCACGAGGATTAGTCAAAAATTTGAAACATACATCACATAGATTTAGCAAAAATTTAAGCAATAACACATTTTATTAATAATCTACATTCATTCAAGAATTTATCAGTACATTCAAGAACTATAATCTACGTAATATTTCTTAGACAGTAATACATTTTCAACTTTTACAAATACAACATAAATTTGTCATATGAAAATTTTATGGCATTCCTATTTTAATCTTGCATGGAATATTTTTTTACAGTCCATTTACATTATCTGTATTTTCAGACCATTTGGCTTCAAAATGCTATTCACATACTTCAGTTAAACTAACTTTTTAATGTCCCTGCATTTAGCAATAAACAGGTTCTCGAAAAGCTAATTAATAAGTATTTCAAACTCACCTGATTTCTCAATGGAAGCAACCTATGCCTAGCATACAAAACAAAATTCACCCTCCCCAAATCAAAGAGTTCTCAATTTTTAAGCCCCCCAAAATGAGTTCTCAATGTTTAATTTGTTTTAATTTTGTATTAATATATTAGCTAATTTTCATCAGTTTTCTTGGACAACATTATTAAAAAAATTGCTAGATAGCAAAATTTTGAAACAGCAATAATTAAACTAATGTCTTTCCTCACAGTTATTACTTGAAACATTATATTAGTTTATGTCTACAACTACTGTACTCCATGCAACTGAAAACTGTTGTTTAGATATTCTTTATGTACTGCAAGAATCATATGAGTTATTTAAAAATGATTAATAAAGTGAGCAAGAGTTAGCTGTAAAAGGAGTTTGAATTCAAATAAAATTCAGCTCTGGCTTGGAGGAGTTTACAACTCATAAAATTTTGAAGTAATTTGATAGTGTTTAACAGTCTCAGTTCTCAGACTCCATGCAGCATCTTTTCTTACTTAGGATGATTTTAAAATAAGATAAAAACACCATGCAGCCATATGATAGTTTAATATTTATAGGCTATGAAGTGAAGCTAGGAGTTTGAGTCACTTTGACAATCGTAATAAGTGAGACACCAGTCTGTTCTACAAGAAGCTGAAATACACTGAAAAAATAATTACCAATCAAAGATGAAAGACCTGCTCAAGTATAGATCAAGCAGTTTCACCACACCAAAATGTCTTTTCAGAGTAGATCTATGGCAAGACATTTAGCATGTTTCTCCTGCATATGATCATATCTCAAATGATAATTTTAGCTCATCATAAGGTACAGCAGTACATAAACTGCCATACAGAAGTTTTCATTTAATGTGAGAGGTGACATTTTTTGTTTAAAATAGCAGCATGCCTTTATACTTGCACTAGCCTGAAGCATTTTGTAGACAAATTAGATTCTTCTTAGAAAACCAATGGTTACTTTTCTAATGAAAGAACAGATAAAAGTAGTTGCAGCAATAATAAGGAAAGTCATAATGAAAACAGTGGTGAATCATAAGAACATGATAATGAAATTATTATGAACAGCTATCAGTCAAAAATATCCTATTTTGGAAGTATGAATGATATAATTTAAATTAAAAAAATGTTATAATACTTACAGCATATCTTTTTTCTTTCACAAGCAATCTTGTAGAAACAGCAGAAAAACTAAGAGTTTCAAACTTAACTATTACTCTATTATTTAAGCAACTGAAGCATTAATGATTCAAATTTTGCATAGAAACTAGATTTTTGGGAAGTGAGGACACAGTCTACAGCAAGTTATACCTTATCAGGAAAAAAATTAAAACAATTCTGCTGACTTCTATGAATCTCACTCTTATAGGATGAGTTCATCATTTCAGATATATCAGATTAGGCAAAAACAAGAAATACAGGCAAAGTTTTACATTAAACTCATATATTTTGAGGCAAATAATGAATGAAAAGTTCTGCCTAAATGTGCAGAAAACTCGATTTACAGTTAAAATGTTTGCAAAGTGAAAAAAATTATGCACACCTCCAATTAAGACAGGAAGTAGAAGCAGCAACTGAATTTATATGTACGTATTAATATTGCTACACTTAACTTGCTTACTTTGAATAAAAATATATTATTAATTTCATATTTCAAGATTATATTGAGACAACAAGCTCTACTTGAAATACTAAAATACATAGAACCTCCCATGATGATGACCCATATATAAGAATATTAAAAAAAAATAATACTGACAATGGTATATTCTATTCTTCTAAAGACCACTCCCTAACTTCAAAGGGACTCTAAAATTACTTGACTGGTGAGCACTGAAATATCTTTATTTCAACATCAAATTAAAATGTCAACACTACACAAATTAATAAAAGCATACAATGTAGTTACATAACTCTAGCCTCCATCACAGTAAAATAGTAATGGAGAAACATAGAAACATCCAACACATAACACATTTCTAACACAGACTGACAAGTGCATTGCATGAGAGTCATATAGCCATTGGAGCACTATATTAAAGGACACATTGTCATGGGAAAAGCATATACACCATAACATGACATTGAAAATAATGGAATGTCATAATGGATTACAAGAGAAAAGTAATATAGTGTGTTCTCCAGAACACAGCTTTAATTTGTATGATCACCACTTTTCAGAGTGAAGTTAAAAAAAAAAAAAAAAAAAAAAAAAAAAAAAAAAAAAAAAAAAACTATTCATAAACAGTTTTACTGCGAGAGGAACCATACACAAAATTTACAAGACAAGAAGAAAGTACATGTTGCATAAAAGTCTGAAGCAGCAGCTATCCCAAAATACAACAGAATGGAAAATGAAGTACAGTGCATTGACATACCTTGAGAGAGGAGATGCAACGTAGCACAAAGTGGCATGAGTTCATTAGTATAAGTACCATATTCTAGAGATACACAACATGGAACTTGTAATTCACAACTACGTTTAATAAAGATGGCAAAAGGAGTGGCTATCATAAGAGGCATCCCCAATTTTAAAGCCAACACGTCTCTTTCACTACTTCAGCCTTGTTTACAAAATAATGTGAAAGATCACAGTTTGTTGTTAAGTAGGATGTTACTATGGCATATTATCCAACCTACAGCAAAACTTGTCAGTAGTCAATGCATGAATGACACTTCTACAGTTTGAAAATATGCATCTAAGGAGTATTTTTTTAAAATTAACCATTAAATGTAATTAATTTAATAGCAGTTAACATAAAATTCATAAATATAAAAAATTTTACTATTCAGATAAGCAGCAAAAACTAGCTGGCAGAGGTGAAAGAAAATTAATTCTAGGCAGAGACATAAAATATAATACATATAATCAATAAAACTACTTATAATGCATTTTACATTATGAATGTAAAGATTTATAAGTAGCATGCTTTGCAAACTTAAGTTTTGAATTAGATAATCTTTTTCTACTAAACAATTCTTCATTTGCAAGTTTATTTTTGAAATGAGAACAGCTTCAAGAGTTTTCATACCTGGATTTGGTCAAAATACAATTGAATTTTTTTTTTTTTTTTTTTTAACATAGCAGAAAAATTCTTTCATTTTTTTTGCAATGGTAGAATCCTGAAACACTGCATTTAAAAGCTTCTTCAAATGGTATGAAACTGAAACTGGAAGGTTGTATTCAATGAAAAATCAACTAAAACAGCATTCAGTTTTTATAACAACCAATTATGAAGAAATTTGAGATTTCTTTCAATTTTTTAGCATTAATTTCTGTATGCCTTTGAGAAAATATAATCAGTTAATGCTATATGCAACAGAAGTCTTTGTTGCTACTGAAAAGTAAAAGTTATGGAAAATTTTAGATGCTTTAATGCATGGGAATTCTGTAGAATACGAGTCTTTAAATTTCTACCTTGATAATTTCAGCATTTTACTCTGATGCAGTACAATTCCCGAATTTGGAGAATTTCCAATTTCATCACAACTCACAAGAAGCAAGTGCTGCATTTTTTTCCGCCATAATATAATCTGATCAGATCATCAGGGTAAACAAGCCCTTCACAGCAGGATACTTGATTGGAAAGTTAAGGGTCGAAATTTACTCTTCTCTTCAAAAGCAGAACAAGATTAACTTAACATGCGATAGTTTATACACATTTCCCTTGCCCCCTTTCAATAAAATACATACACTAAAGTGACAAAAGTCATGGGATACCTCCTAATATTTTGTCGGTTCTCCTTTTGCCCGGCGAAGTGCAGCAACTCGACGTGGCATGGACTCAACAAGTCGTTGGAAGTCCCCTGCAGGAATATTGAGTCATGCTGCCTTTATAGACGTCCATAATTGTGAAAGTGTTGACGGTGCAGGGTTTTTGGGCACGAACTGACCTCTCGATGATGTCCAATAAATGTTTGATGGGATTCATGTCGGGCGATCTAGGTGGCCAGATCATTTGCTGGAATTGTCCAGAATGTTCTTCTAACTAATCGTGAACAATTATGGCCCGGTGACATGGTGCATTATCATCCATAAAAATCCCATCGTTGTTCGAGTATGTGAAGTCCAGGAATGGCTGTAAGTGATCTCCAAGTAACTGAAGGTATCCATTTCCAGTCAATGATCGGTTCAGGTGCACCAGAGGACCGAGTCCATGCCGTGTAAAAACAGCCCAGACCATTATGGAACCACCACCAGCTTGAACAGTGCCTTGTTGACAACTTGGGTCCATGGCTTCGTGGGGTCTGCACCACACTCAAACCATACCATCAGCTCTTACCAACTGAAATTGTGACTCATCTGACCAAGCCACGGTTTTCCATTCGTTTAGGGACCAACCGATATGCTCCCAAGCCCACGAGAGTCGCAGCAGGTGATGTTGTGCTGTCAGTAAAGGCACTCGAGTGGGTCTTCTGCTGGCATAGCCCAAGGAAGACAAATTTCGCCGCACTGTCCTATCGGACATGTCCCTCATACATCCCACATTGATTTCTGTGGTTATTTGACACAGTGTTGCTTGTCACGTCGCTGGTCTCGGTCGTTAAATGCAGGTGGTTGGTCACTGCGCTGTCCATGGTGGAATGTTATGCCTGAAATTAGATACTCTCGGCACACTCTTGACACTGTGGATCTCGGAATGTTGAATTCCCCTAATGATATCCGAAATGGAATGACCCATGCGTCTAGCTCCAACTACCATTCCGCATTCAAAGTCTGTTAATTCTCGTTGTGCAGCCATAATCATGTCAAAGCCTCTTCACATGAATAACTTGAACACAAATGAAAGCCATGCCAAAGCACTTTGCATCTATACATTTTCTACGCGATACTACTGCCATCTGTATATTTGCATATTGCTATCCCATGACTTTTGTCACTTCAATGTAGTTTTTTCAGTATTTTTTTGCAGTTCTTAATTTCCAAGGAATTTCCATAGAAACTACAGAGAATCCATAATAGTTGAAGTCCATGTGAAAACTAGAGCATGGAGTCCATAATATAGAGTAATATCCATAATAGAGTTTTTTCTGCATAAATAAGTCACACACTTTGAACGGAAAATAAGTTTGATAACATACAAGAACAAGTTCACTAATTTTCTCAAGGCATTTCATGCAGTTACATAAAAAATTCCATCTCTCATTCCAAGTTTTGATTGCAAAGGAGTTATACATACATTTTGATAACCAGTAGTCTATAACTATATATTCTGATTAGCAACATATATATTAAATATATTATTAGCAATAACATTCCATCCACATTAAAAAAAGAAAACAACTGAAGCAGTGTTAGGTGAGAATGTAAAATGTAAAATGAAATGTAATTCCTATAAATCAAAGCACATACTTCTTTCCAGATGCTAACTGCAAAATTTTATGCCAAATGGTAACTAATTTATAAATTTTTCCAGATGAATGATTGATTATGTTTGTGATATCTATCAGAAGACAGCGGCTTCTGTAGGGGTACACAGCAAGTTAATCTGGCATTATATAAATCAAAGCACATACTTCTTTCCAGATGCTAACTGCAAAATTTTATGCCAAATGGTAACCAACTTCTAAATTTTTCCAGATGAATGATTGATTATGTTTGTGCTATCAATCAGAAGACAGTGGCTTCTGTAGGGGTGTGCAGCCAGTTAGTCTGGCATTATATACAGATTTATTTGATCAGTTCCAAGAAAGAAATACGTTAGAATGTACAAATGATCAGAGATGGAGAAAAGACTCCAGAGCAAATATGTAACGTTTAAGTAGGAAAACTAAGCCTGATTATATAATGAATGATTGTTTTGCTTGCTGATAATTTTTTGAGTATAGAAAACCACAAAAGGCCTGACTAATTAAAGAAAGGATGCTTTAGGCAGGACTTTTAAAGAAATCTAGCTCATATTCCCATTACACTTGGAGGTTGGGTTTGGTCTGTTTGATTATAGCAAAGTTCATGACAGCCATCTGTCAAAGGAGGAGTGATGCTTTTGTGGGGGAATTTCTAAGGGAACTAGCTCTCATCCTGGGAAAATACACATGTTAGCAATGAAAAAATAACATTAACTTCTTTTTAATTTCTAGACAATTAATTTCACTACATAAAAGCAGTAAAATTAATTAAATGATAAATACATTGTAGGAGACATTAGGTTAATTGGAAAAGCCGGAGAGATGGAAAGTTAGCAACTGCCTTTGCCGGGAATCGAACCACGGACCTCTGGATTACCAGCCCAGCGTGCAGAACCACTACACCATGAAGGCATGCTAGGAAAGCAGGAGAGATACCTTATATACCCCCCTTTTAAAGGGTGACTGGGGCTTTTAGCGGACCCAATCACCAAATCCTGGGTGTGGAGAATCCTCATCCAACACCCTTTTAGTTCGGGCACCACTGTAGAGACATTAAGTACTTTTTGGAAGCAGGAGAATTAAAAAATTAACAAATGCCTTTGCCAGGAATCGAACCACGGACCTCTGGAATACCGTCTCAGCGTGCAGAACCACTACACCACAAAGGCACGCTAGGAAAGCAGGAGAGATACCTTATAACTTGAATGACTTTTTTCATTGGTTAACCTGAAAAAACTCCATTTGCTTGAAAGCATTCCATCCTTTTAGTTTCAGACATAAATATATGTGTATATAACACAACATGGTGTGTGTGCGTATATATATATATATATTCTTTACCAATTATGCAAAAATTAATTATGTCTTCTTGTTACTCAGTACAAAAGCACTAGTTAAATCAGCTATTATATACATATATCTTGCTCATTCTTCTTATTTCCATTGCCTTTGAATTCACATTATTTGGCTATTCATTTCTATTACTATCATAAAAAATCTGACATAACACAAGCATTTTGATAATAGGAAGGTATACTTTATGGATATGTTTCAGGTAAATGGAATGCATAAGAATTTTTTTTTTGAGATATCACTAATCAAGAGATGGAAGAATAGGACCTATTAAGTATCAAAACTCAATACTTATGTTATACATTTTTGGCATTTGTTTTACTGTTTTTTATACTAACTGTTAAAATACATGTAATTTTAAATGTTAATTTTTCTTTCATTGGAAGATAGTGCAAAAAAAGCCATACTGTGAAATTCTGAGCATCATAAGTGAAAAACATTTTGTCAACTCAGGAGAGAGAAATCTACATTTAGCCACATCATTATTTATGTCAAATGTAATTATAAATTAAACTTACCTGCTATCACAGGGAGCCAAAGCAGAATCTCTACTCCTTTCAATGATGAAAAAGGCCTCTGAAAAGCGTTTCACTCTCTGAAAATGCCTCTGTCGGGATAAATGTTGTCGTACTTTTTCATTCCCTATCACAGTCTCAAGAAACTTTTGCCACAAGAGAATAAGAGCACCACATATTTGAGCAATATCACTATTTGCTTTCATCAGAAATTCTTCACTGTCCATACCCTAAATAATACAAACAATACTGAAAAAAAATTTAAGATATTTTCATATCACTAAATGTAAGTGTAAATTATGCAGATGTACGATTCAGATGTTATGTTCAGAGATAAATGTTATATTATAAACTAGAGACAGTCATATTTACAGAACAAATACGGCCAATTCGCAATACAGAAAACTCAGTTGTACTGAAAATTCATTAACAGTAAATTTAAATCACCTGTCTTGAAATACACAGAAAATTTGTATTAAAAGTTTTTTTCACAATGAATCCTCAACTTTGATCACAGTCAGCAAAAAGAGAAGTGAAAGAATGAGAACAATACTGTAGCTTACTATATACTCATTAAGTGCACTGAAGAATGAAAGAAGGCGGTTTGAATTTTTTAAGTCTTCTCTGAAAAGTGCCTGTCCATACAATTATTGGCTAGACACCTAAATGCAATGCTTTTCGCCCAAATACTGCGCATGGCTCAAATGGGTTTTCCAAAACTTCTGAATGAGGTGTTAATCACACCTTTTAACTGTCTAAGTAATTTGAATATTTGAATAGCCCTCCCCTTTTATTTAGTAAGAGCTACAAGCACATTGCTCATTTCATCTATGGGCTCTTTATAACCTTTAGCTGTGCTGATATTCTGCCATGTTGCAACTCAACTCTTGCTGAGCTCCGATGGCTGAGTGACATCATCTCAAACTATGAACTCTCGCTCAGAGATCGCATGAGAACTCGGAATGGAGAAGTCGCACGTGGCGTCGTGCCATTTTAAAACCCTTTTCATTATGTAAATATTCTGTAACCCGTTTGAGTTTTCATTAAATATGTTTGTGTAAAGAATGTATTTATCATTTATGGATTATTCTCTTCAATATTTTCCAGATAGATGCACAGAGGAGATCAATTCAACCAGTGGCCCTAGCAGAACCCATTGGGACGAGGTAAGCTGCTTAGCTTGATTAATTAGTTAGAATTGTAACACTAACGATAATGATAAGGAGAATAAATAATAATATGCCATGTGGTTTTGCAACTATTGATAGCTGTGATGCTATTCTGCACAACAAAAAAGTGGCCATACATTCCAAAGATCCTAAGCAAGAACTAATCACTTCAGTTAACTTGGCTACTCATTAACATTCTGGTAGTTCATTTCCTGGTGAAGGGTGGGGGGAATTTCATACAGAAACTAAGCATGGCTCTATAGTCCGAGGGGTCTACCCCACAAAAGAGTGAAAAGAGGCTATAATGTAAGATCAAAATCTCCAGTGCACTATTTAACCAGATGACGAATGGTAAGTACCCTTCCCTGGAACTAACGTAATTACCTTGTGAATTTAAGCAACAAAAGGCAATGCAAAGAGAAAGGAAATGAGAATCAGAGGGTACTAACTTTCACTAACTTAGATTAAGTATAGATTATGGCAAAGCACATGAAGGCTATCTGCCTAAGGGAAGGGATATCTTCATGGACGACTTTTTAACAGAAAGTGAGATGTATTCACATTTTACATGTGGGAAACCATTAAAACTCCCAAGCAGCCATGATTTGAAACCAGGTCAAATTACCACTGTTCAGCAGTTTTAGAATTTGTCTGCCGGCGGCTCTGGTATGACAAATTCAAACATGTTATAATTTAACATTTTATTGCAATGTCAGTGCATCAATAAATTATCAACACAATCATAATCTGCAGCATGGTTTAAACATTATGTATTCAGATGTGGTCAATATGAGGCTATTAAAAAAAATCTCTTAAAACTGATAAAATATAGTCAAACACTCATTACCTGAAGCTGTACTTGAGCTCTGAGACTTGTATTGCATTCACTGTCAGACATAGACATTTTAGGAAAATATGCTCATGGACAAACTTGAAATAGCCAGAATAAAAATGAAAATTCTAAAACTGAACAGTCATAAAACAGGAATTTTGAAAGATGATAATCATGACACAGAGGTTTTAATGCTGTACATTTTTCAGTATTAATTCAAACTCTAAAGTTTTTTTAAATATTTTTATTTTATTGGAGAGATTCCCCCCCCCATATTTAGGTACATTCAAACTTTGAATTTACATGAATTGGTTGTGATAATTAGATTAGATTACCTTTAATAATTAGATTACAGGCTGTTTAAAAATTGAATTACAGATACAGTACAGAACACTGATAATCTGTTGCTAAAATGTTTATGATTTTTAGAAGTTTTAAAACTAATTTTATTCTGGAAAGTAAAATCGTTTTTATTGTTAAATGGCATATATTCAATCCTACAAGCAAATATTGTGAAGATAGGTTAAATACTAATTTAGAAGTCAAACAACAAAAATCAGCATTATATTTTCAAAGGACTAGTTTCGATGGTTTTATCGAACCATCATCCTCAGCTGCAAAAGTGCAAATGAATGAGATAAGATATAGTGATTAGATGAGAAAGAATGGCGAATGCACAGTTAAGCCAAACCATTGGCGCCATCTGTTGATGAAACCAGAATTAAAATATAATTTCTTTAAAGGCTGAAGGTAAAGATGGCTTGGAATTAAGGTCATTAACTAGAACAGAAAGACGTTTTTGAATGTGAAATGCCTCTAGAAAATCTAGTTCACCAATGGAAGATGTTTTTTGAATAATTTTGGCTGCAGAAAAATTGAAAGTGTGATTTTTGGACTAACAATGCTGTGCAACAGAAGACTTTTGTGTTTCCTTTATTTCTAACATATTCTTCATGTTCCTTAATGTGAAATTTTAAGGTTCTCTTAGTTTGACCAATGTAAATTAAACCACACGGGCAAGGAATTTTGTAAATACCCAAGGAATTCAAATCTCGAATGGGGTCCTTGAGTATGGAACTCGGAATTTTTTGATGGGAGAATAAACAACTCGAAAGTTCAATTTCTGTTGTTTGACTTTTAAATTAGTACTTGTTCAGCCTGTAATTGTATCATAATTATACGTTAAGTAGTTTTTTGGGAACATACAGAAAAAACACAATACCAATTTTTTTAGCAGTAACCCTTTGCTCCTGCTTTCTGAAATTCAAGCTAGGATCTGAGAAAATAACAACATATTATCTAAATAAATTTCTTTTTGTTCAGGGAGGGAGGATGAACATTGCAGGTTTTATATTTTAAGTTTGATACAGGTCTAATTATGAAAAGTCTTTTTATATGGCATTCATCACACAGTAAATTCATATTAATATATAATGTAATTTGAAAATATTTGGCAAAAACATTTTGTAACAAATGTGTCCACAGAAGAGTGTGTTTATATGGTAGCAGTACACTGACGTAAACCGTCATTCCAAAATCCGAGTCTGAGCAGTATGAATTGAGACATAAAAGCAGAGCTTCATGATATGCATCTTACCTATTAGGCAGCACACAGAAATGAAGCAAATACACAAAGGATGCACACAGAAAAATTTAAAATCACCAAGCATTCAAGTGTATTAACCAAAAGCTGTGTGAAGTCAATGTTGCATTACTGCTACATAAAACTGAATGATTGAAAAGTTTCTTTTGATTTTGCTTGTTTTTCTTTATGCGTTACCTGCCACTACTAACACGTGCAAGTGTTGCCTATTGGCAATTCTTAATTAAATATGATGTCCTTATCTCTCATAACAGTGTTTCTGCATTCAATAACATATTTAAGTTAGCTTTAGGCTATTTCCGTATAGCGAAGCTCACAAGGGCTGCCTGCCTAAGAGGAGTGATGCCTTTGTGGAATTCCTTGGGGAAGATGGCTTGTAATTAAGTTGTACATGGGGAAAAACCATGAAAATTAACCACACAGCCACCCTATTCACTGGGACTTGAACTCAGAATGAACTACTACTGTTTAGTGACTTTACTACTCAGCTGCTGGTTGGCTCTAACTTTTGCTCGAATCAGCCACATGTAAAACATATGTAGCACCCTGCATACGAGTAATGATAAAATTCTGTATGCTCGGAATATATACAGGATGAGTATGAAAAGAATTTTGGTCGTCTGATTAAATCAGCATTGACTAAATATTAGTTTAATGGGTTTCTGTTCAGATGTGTTTAGATGCTTCTCTCAATAAGCCTGCCCTGAAGACTAAAGCTGAATAGGTAGCACAGTTTCTGGACAATAACCAAGAGTATCAGTGTTCAGGAGGATGGCAAGGCAAGTAGAAGAGATATCAGATTACAGTCTAATGATCATTGGGAAAACTATGTATATAAATTAAGAAATGATAGAACAATGGTTGACACTGATATGGCCAAGAATTTATATAAAATATTTGCTTGATAATATCTTCAGATGCAATGAGCTCTGACTTTTACAACAATTAATGCCAGAAAAATGCAGAGATTTATAGTGAAAGTGTGTGCTGGTAAAAAGTCGAAAACCCAATTAATGCAGTGTTAACATGTCAGGGCAGATAAAACTGTAACTAATACGAGTCCCAGATGTTTTAGAAACATCAAGTGACTCGCAATGCATGAGCAGTTCAACAATAAAACCTGATACAGCTCATTTCTTCAAGAACTTTATCAGTGAGATTGAGAACAGAGCTGTAGCTGATGAAAAATCAGGATTATAATGATCAGGACAACAGTAAAGAATCTGTTTTAACAATAAAAGAGGCACTCGATAACATCAGGACAATGCTAAGCTCCTTATAATGCATGGAAAACGTAGAACTGAGAGTAGGAAAGGACAGAGAGAACATATATACTACTAGATGTGTTTATATAAAACTTCATGTAACAGACAACTTTCATACTAATTAAAAATGTAATACTGATCTTGTTTAACAGATACATAACTATGCGCATATTATTTCTTAGGTATTGTATTACCTTGCTTCTTACTTCCCTTAATTTAGTTTAAGAAAAGTCATTTATGGGTGAGGGGGCCGAGGTTAATGGAATATGGTGAAAGGCACGAAGGTTAAAGGCACTTGTGATAGTCTGCTGAGGTTCACTGTAGATGTAATTAACCATGATTTACTACAGTCATTAAATTG